GAGGGCCTATAGATTTCCAAAAGGAGTATACAAAGATTGTTTATGAGGGCTCCATATAATGGATCTTTCACACTTCTCTATATAGGGCTCCATTTGTGGATATATAAGGGTTTCCTACAAGTTCTCTAATTTGAGGATCTGTAAGGTTTATATATCAATAAAGCTTTTCTATATGGGCTCTATAGACCCCAGAAGACGATGAAGGTGATAAGACGATGATCAGAAGATGAGTCGATGGGAGAAAAAGTGATGGGAGGTGAGGAGACATGAGATGGGAAGGGAAGGAAGGAGTTAGGAGTAGGGGAGGTAGGAGGCAAGTGAGAGGGAGAGGGTGGATCTTTTACAAACACATTTAGGGGGACGCTCCTTGCGATGTGTGATTTTTGGATCTGAGTTCTTACAAAACCTTAGAGGGACACCCCTTGCGATTTGTGATTCTGGAAATTATTAGTTGTATAAACCTGTAAAGGGACACCCCTTGCGATTTATGATGGGATCTGAGTTCTCACAAAACCTTGCGATTTGTGATTTTGGGATCTGACTTCTTGCAAAACCTTAGGGGAACCCCCCTTCCGATTTGTGATACTTGTGTTGAAATTAATCGCTACAAAAACCTTTACTGTAGGTGGACACTCCTTGGGATCTGTGGTGTTGGGGTCTGAGTTTTCACAAAACCTTCGGGGGACACCCCTTGCGATCCGTCATTTTTGGATCTGAGTTCTTACAAAACCTTAGGGGGACACCCCTTGCGATTTGTGACTTCAGAACTTACTTGTCATGAAAACCTTTGGGGGGACACCCCTTGCAATCTGTGGATTCGGGATCTGAGTTTTCTCAAAACCTTAGGGGGACACCCCTTGCGATCTGTGATTATTGGATCTGATTTCTTACAAAACCTTAGGGGGACACCCCTTGCGATTTGTGATTTTAGAATTTACTTGTCATGAAAACCTTTAGGGGGACACCCCTTGCGATCTGTGGTTTTGGGATCTGGGTTTTCACAAAACCTTAGGGGGACGCCCTTTGCGATCTGTGGTTTTGGATTCTGAGTTCTTACAAAACCTTAGGGTGACATTTTTTGCAATACATCATTTAGGAATCTGAGTTTTTACAAAACGCAAGGAGGACGCCCCTTGCGATTTGTGGTTTGGGGATCTGAATGTATTTTTAGGGGGGGGCGGAGTAGGGTAGAATGATGGAGGGGGAAGGGATGGGAAGGAAGCACAAAAGAGGAGAAGGAAGGGGTTTTGAGGGGAGTCAGGGGAAGAAGGAGGGAAGGGAGGGGGAGGGGCGGTGGAGATCCCAGATTCAAAGGGAGGGGAAGAGGAGGGAGGTAGTGGAAGTGGGGAGAGGGGGTGGGAAGGCAGACCTAAGCATTTGTAAGAACTCAGATACCAAAATCACAGATCGCAAGCGGTGTCCCCCTAAAGGTTTTTACAACAAATAAGTTCGACAATCACAAATCGCAAGGGGTGTCCCCCTAAGGTTTTGTACAGATCGCAGGGGGTGTCCCCCTAAGGTTTTGTGAAAACTCAGATCCCGAAACCACAGATTGCAAGGGGTGTCCTTCTAAGGTTTTGTAAAAACTCAGATCCCGAAAACACAGATCGCAAGGGGTGTCCCCCTAAAGGTTTTTGCATAAAACAGATCCCAAAATCACAGATCGCAAGGGGTGTCCCCGGAAGGTCTTTTGTAGACCCTGATCCCACAAACACAGACCCCCTGCCATCTTATCCTTATCATCCCTGTCATCCCTATCATCCTTATCATCTGTATCATCCTTATCATCCTTTGGGAAAGCACACAAGAGAGGATTGGACCACAGTTTGATTAAATTTTGCCTGCCAAACTTTCGTCCTATCCTTCGTATTGTTACGTATGGGGAAACACAACCGAGAGGATTGGCTCCCAAAATTTGGTCCTATCCTTTTGTTATGTTACCTATGGGGAAACACAGCCGAGAGGATTGGACCAAATTTTGCCTGCTAAAATTTGGTCCTATCCTTTTGTTATGTTACCTATGGGGAAGCACAACCGAGAGGATTGGACCAAATTTTGCTGCTAAAATTTGGTCCTATCCTTTCGTGTTGTTACGTATGGGGAAACACAACCGAGAGGATTGGCTCCCAAAATTTGGTCCTATCCTTTTGTTATGTTACCGATGGGGAAGCGCAGCCGAGAGGATTGGACCAAATTTTGCCCGCTAAAATTTGGTCCTATCCTTTTGTTATGTTACCTATGGGGAAGCACAACCGAGAGGATTGGACCAAATTTTGCTTGCTGAAATTTGGTCCTATTCTTTCGTATTGTTACGTATGGGGAAACACAACCGAGAGGATTGGCTCCCAAAATTTGGTCCTATCCTTTTGTTATGTTACCCATGGGGAAGCGCAGCCGAGAGGATTGGACCAAATTTTGCCCGCTAAAATTTGGTCCTATCCTTTTGTTATGTTACCTATGGGGAAGCACAACCGAGAGGATTGGACCAAATTTTGCCTGCTGAAATTTGGTCCTATCCTTTCGTGTTGTTACGTATGGGGAAACACAACCGAGAGGATTGGCTCCCAACATTTGGTCCTATCCTTTTGTTATGTTACCTATGGGGAAACACAGCCGAGAGGATTGGACCAAATTTTGCCTGCCAAAATTTGGTCCTATCCTTTTGTTATGTTATCTATGGGGAAGCACAACCGAGAGGATTGGACCAAATTTTGCTGCTAAAATTTGGTCCTATCCTTTCGAGTTGTAAACTTTGGTCCTATCCTTTCGTGTTGTAAAATTTGGTCCTATCCTTTCGTGTTGTTACGTATGGGGAAACACAACCGAGAGGATTGGCTCCCAACAGTTGGTCCTATCCTTTTGTTATGTTACCTATGGGGCAGCACAACCGAGAGGATTTAATTGGCGGACCAATTAATTGTTGAGGATTTTTAAAATAATACTTGCCCAAAAATCTTTAAAATCCTTAAAATTTAAATGGGCCAAGGTTTTGGCTTTGGAAAAGCTAGCAAACCATTAAATTTTTTAAAATCTTTAAAATCTTTAAAATTTAATTGGCCGGCCAATTAATTTTTAAAGATTTTTAAAATTTTAATGGCCTTAAAATCTTTAAAATCCTTAAAAAATTTAAATGGGCCGAAGTTTGGGCTTTGGAAAAGTTAGCAAACCATTAAATTTTTTAAAATCTTTAAAATCTTTAAAATTTAATTGGCCGGCCAATTAATTTTTAAAGATTTTAAAAATTTTAATGGCCTTAAAATCTTTAAAATCCTTAAAATTTAATTGGGCCGAGGTTTGGGCTTTGGAAAAGTTAGCAAACCATTAAATTTTTTAAAAATCTTTAAAATCTTTAAAATTTAATTGGCCGGCCAATCAATTTTTAAGGATTTTTAAAATTTTAATGGCATTAAAATCTTTAAAATTTAATTGGCCGGCCATTTAATTTTTAAAATTTTAATGGCCTTAAAATCTTTAAAATCCTTAAAATTTAAATGGGCCAAGGTTTTGGCTTTGGGAAAGCTAGCAAACCATTAAATTTTTAAAAATCTTTAAAATCTTTAAAATTTAATTGGCCGGCCAATTATTTTTTAAGGGTTTTTAAAATTTTAATGACCTTAAAATCTTTAAAGTTTAATTGGCAGGCCAATTAATTTTTAAGGATTTTTAAAATTTTAATGGCCTTAAAATCTTTAAAATCCTTAAAATTTAATTGGGCCGAGGTTTGGGCTTTGGAAAAGTTAGCAAACCATTAAATTTTTAAAAATCTTTAAAATCTTTAAAATTTAATTGGCCTGCCAAGTAATTTTTAAGGATTTTTAAAATTTTAATGGCCTTAAAACCTTTAAAATTTAATTGGCCTGCCAATTAATTTTTAAAGATTTTTAAAATTTTAATGGCCTTAAAATCTTTAAAATCCTTAAAATTTAATTGGGCCGAGGTTTGGGCTTTGGAAAAGTTAGCAAACCATTAAATTTTTAAAAATCTTTAAAATCTTTAAAATTTAATTGGCCGGCCAATTAATTTTTAAGGATTTTTAAAATTTTAATGGCATTAAAATCTTTAAAATCCTTAAAATTTAATTGGGCGGCCAATTAAATTTTAAAGATTTTAAAGATTTTTAAAAATTTAATGGTTTGCTAACTTTTCCAAAGCCCAAACCTCGGCCCAATTAAATTTTAAGGATTTTAAAGATTTTAAGGCCATTAAAATTTTAAAAATCTTTAAAAATTAATTGGCCGGCCAATTAAATTTTAAAGATTTTAATGCCATTAAAATTTTAAAAACCCTTAAAAATTAATTGGCCGGCCAATTAAATTTTAAAGATTTTAAAGATTTTTAAAAATTTAATGGTTTGCTAACTTTTCCAAAGCCCAAACCTCGGCCCAATTAAATTTTAAGGATTTTAAAGATTTTAAAGCCATTAAAATTTTAAAAATCTTTAAAAATTAATTGGCCGGCCAATTAAATTTTAAAGATTTTAAAGATTTTTAAAAATGTAATGGTTTGCTAACTTTTCCAAAGCCCAAACCTCGGCCCAATTAAATTTTAAGGATTTTAAAGATTTTAAGGCCATTAAAATTTTAAAAATCTTTAAAAATTAATTGGCCGGCCAATTAAATTTTAAAGATTTTAAAGATTTTTAAAATTTAATGGTTTGCTAACTTTTCCAAAGCCCAAACCTCGGCCCAATTAAATTTTAAGGATTTTAAAGATTTTAAGGCCATTAAAATTTTAAAAATCTTTAAAAATTAATTGGCCGGTCAATTAAATTTTAAAGATTGCAGGGTCATTAAAATTTTAAGAAGCCTTAAAAAATAATTGGCCGGCCAATTAATTTTTAAAGATTTTAGAAGCCATTCAAATATTGAAAACCTTTAAATCTTGAAAGGCTAGATATTCGAATACGGATCTCTGTGGCAAAGAATTATAACAACGAAGCCGAATGCCAAATAGAACATAAAGGTCCTACGTACAAAGCCCTAAAGCCCTGAGGCTTGGACATGGAGTATGACAGCCGCCGGAAAGTTTTCGTGGAAGTGATCAAGATTTGGCATGTCGTGAGCACCTCTGCCCGAAATCAAATCCGTAGCGGGGATAGGGTTTAGGGTTTATAGGGTTTAGGGTTTAGGGGGATACCTGCCAACCCCGAATCCTTAAAATGTTGCGGGGCCCATGCCTCAGGGCAGATGGCCGTTCAGTTTGTTTCTCCAGCGGGCACGTGTGCAAGGAGGAGTGTTCGTAACGAGGGTCCCGAGCAGGTACCTGATATGAGCAGGAATGTATTGCTGAAACAGCGACTGCATCATGATACAGAAGCAACATCAAAAAGACACGACAATCGAGAACCACCAGGACAGGGACTATACTGTACAAAACAAGGACATGGCAGTGCATCTGAGACATGCAAGTAGAGCATACAGGTGCAAATCTGTTTATTGTGCCCATGTATGTATGTCGGCAGGTATAAAGGCATGCAGCATGTACCGCATCGGCCCCACCCAGCGGAAACCCGAGGCCCGGATCAGTCGGTGGAGGCTGCGGCTGCCTTGGTTGAAGACTGGAAGAAGGCCACCCGCGACTTTACAGGACGGGTGTCGGGAACTTCAGAGAATGCTGCCGTCTCATTCTGAAGTCTTTGTGTCTGCCTGTTTCGACGTTTTGGGCAAGAGGCTTTGGGGTCTTCGACCAGCACCAACCGCAACCCTGAAACCTAAGCCCTAAACGCTCTACTGTGTGTCTGTTGCCCTCTCCAGGAGTGGAGCGCGCCCTCAGGTCTCAGAGTATAAAGCTGAAGAGCCCTGGCAAACACTGTGCTTGGTGACTTCCGTGTTTCGGTTTGGGCCAGCAGCAGGACGACAACCCACAAGCACACCTCTCGGACGTATCCGGCCGCACGCTCTGAAGGAGCAGTTCAGAACGGACATTCTCGTAAGAACCTCGCAAGCTCTGTCTTCACGTAATGCCAAGGGATGGAGTGCGCTGCCCTCGAAGCGTGCTGCCATCTGAATTGCAAGACAGCGACTGGGCACATTGCTTGTTTTCAATACGCTAGTCATGGCCAAAACATGGATCAATCAGGCTCATGTTCTTTCTCGAACACATCGAAGCCAGGATGCTTAATGTGTAGTTGTTCAAGAAAGAACGGCAGGGTGGTTTCCTGGTCCTACTCCGCCCGCAGTGTTCAAACTGTTGGTCTTTGCTCCAAATCGTTTGTTTTTGCACGGGCTCCCCACACCCATAAACCCCTAAAGACTTTGTTTCTGTCTGTCTGTCTGTCTCTGTCACTCTTCCGGCCATGGCTTCCACTCGAGCCGAACTCGGTTTCCGAGGTGACGTCTTGTCCCTGCGAAAGTTCTATGCTCTGGAATGGCACATCGTGCGGTCCATTCTCCTAGACGATGAGGAGGAAGGCCATCAGCCGGCAAAACTTCGTAGAGCATTTAGACGTGCAACTTCAGCAGAGTAGAATACATTTCCAGAAGGAACCCTTACTATATCTATCTACCTATCTGCCGACCTAGTTAATGATCTATCTATCTATCTATCTGTCTATATATAGATATATACCCATACGCATACATGTACCTTTATCTGTCTATCTTTATCTTTATACCTATATTTTATCTACATATCAAAATCTATACCCACCTACATGCATGCATGCATGCATACATGTATGTATATATATATATACATATACATATATGTATATTCATATATATATATATATATAAAGATTTATATATATATATATGCATATACATACGTATGTATGTATATATATATATATATATATGTATAAGAACCGAGAGATAGACACCATGTCCACTTAGATTTCCTTTCGATCAGGGCGCCTCTTGTAACGGACGGCAAGGTTTCTCACCAAGCCTTTGAGCCCTGCAACCAGCCCGGGTTAGGTTTTAGGGTATGATGGAAGTTCCCGTCTCTCCAAGAACCCAGCAGCAAGTCCCAACAACCCAACACCGTAACGACTCTGCACCCAAAGCCCGAAGAAGCCCGAAGCCACCTCAAACAGCTCCTTTTTAGGGTTTACGGGGTTGGGGCTTTCGCGTTTATGGGTTTAAGGGGTCCATCAGCCCGTAAACCTTAAGGTTCCTAAACACCGCCAAACCCCCTAAGACCCTGAACCCTAGTCCAGGGTTTCAGAGCTCTACAAGGGGTCTGACTTCTCAGGGCTGGCCGCGGGCGAGCAGCCTCTCGTCGGCACAGGCTGCAAGCGCCAAGGCTCTAAAAACTCCAAAATTACTGTAGGGTTTAGGGATTACACTTAGGGTTCTGATTTTCCAAACCCTGGATTGGACTGTTAGTCTGCTCCCTCTCTCACCCGAACTGAAGTCTGTAATCAGTCACTTATCCTCCGTGACGTTCAGCATGATCCATGGAGGAATCTCCAGATGCGACGCCCTCAACCGTAGTCATATTGAAGCCAAAATAATCACCAACATTATTCCCAAGGTTCCTGTATGAAAATAGGCCAATATAGCTGCTCCAAGAGCTTGTTCTAATGATTGAGACCCCTATGATATGATGTTTGCTGCTGCGATCATGTTAATGCAGCTGACATTTTAGAAGGGGCCCCCACCCTGCAATAGTGACTATGAGGATTATATTAGGGCCCTATTATATTCCTATTCTACCACTATTTCAGGGTGGGGGCCCCTTCTAGCTGACATTGCTTTAGGGAGCTTCGGGGGGTGTTTTCATTGAAACCTTGGGCCTTCACCGACCCGCGGATCTCCCGAAGCAGCTCAAGGACGAAACCTCAAACCCCTGAGACAAAAGGCACACATCTTCGAAGGGCCCGGCACCCTGTAATAGTGACTATAAGGATTATATTGGGGCCCTATTATATTCCTATTATACCACTATTACAGGGTGGGGGCAGCTTCTAACACACCTCCTACATCCTACAAACCCCGAGCCTTTCCGCTGAGGTTCATGCTCCGCACCTCCAAGCAAGAAGATGCGGTGATCCAGAAGCCAGGGCCAAACATTGTGAGCCACAGCTGCGTTAGGGGTCTTCGGTTGTTTAGGGTGAAGGGGTATAGGGTTTGGGGTTGAGGGGTAGTTGTTTAGGGCTGAAAGTTGCTGGGGTTTCAACCCTGAGACCTGAAGCATTCGAAGCCCCCATCCGCTTTGCCGCAGAAAGAAGGATTGGTCGCAGCGGCTCGGGCAAGACGCTCTGCGACCAGGCTGCATTAAAATGGGGGCCACAGTCATTCAAAGTGTCATCCCTTCCGCTTTAATGCAAGCAGCGCGGGTTGTGGGTTTTAGGGTTGGGGGCTTTTGGGGTTCTGATGTCAGGGCTTCAGGGGTTTAAGAGACTTTTGCCCAAGGCTTTGAGATGTGGGTTCAGGGTTTGGGGCTTTGGTGGCGTTTTGGGTGGCGATGCCTCGTCAAGTTCCCTATCAACCCAAGCCTTGCCGTCCAAGCAGCTCGCTGCAACCCGAAACGGAAAACCCGAAAACTTCACGCCCGAAACCCGAAGCTCTTCATCCGATTGAGGCCGTTGCATTAACCCGAGCTTGAAACCTGCACTTTATCAACCCCCGGAATAGTGATACAATCCTCGGCAGGAAGAAGCCTTAGTGAAAGGTAAGGTGTTGTGCGGTCCTTAGTCTGGTAGAACCTACCTGGTCATGCCGTGCATTAGGGCCCCAGTCTCCGGGCATCCTCGCATTTGAGGCTGTGTGTATCGGATGTTCCATCGATACCTGGACTACTGGAAGCAGTCAGCGCAGGCTGGTTAAAGGGAACTCCAGAAAGTTGGAATATGGATTAATGGTAGGATCCCCTATAATTTACCTTAAAGGGGTTACGATAATGATATTCCAACTTTCTGGCTTCTACTGTAAGAGATTAGACAAAGGGCCCTCATGATCAGAAGCTAGTTCTTCTATAGTGAACCCCGTAATCAGGACTCGGGTCTCAGATCGCATGCAGAATCCGTGTACTTAGGGGTCCTTTTTGGTTATTATAATCCCTAAGAAACGGCTAAAATTTATAATTTTTGCTAGGGTTCTAAGTTCAGTATAGTGTAGCAGCTGGCGACTCCCAGGTTGGAGACCTGTTGAGAGCAGAGGCGGAAGGATGGGTTTCCTGAAGCCAAAAAGTCTGAAAATCTCAAGATCCAGTTGCGGTAAGTACCCCGGAACCCCGTAAACTCCTGGCTTTTGTGAGGAATTCTGCTTCAGCTCTTGAGGTTCTGCGTTTTTGTGCTTGGCTCGGTGACCTCGGAAATCACTGGCGGCTCTGCTATGAGGAGGGAGAAGGTACGTAGGCAAAAACCTTTGATCCATTGCCATGAACTTGTCGCTCTTCTTGTCCTCGGTATGGTCGTGTTGCAGCCTGCCATCGTCTTTGTCGCGTCCGTCACCTCCTCCACCACGGCTCTGGCTCGTCGTCGTATCAGGCACTTTCAGTTTCATTCTAAATCCTCCCTCAAAGCTGCCGCTCTCAATGCCCATGAAACTGCTTCCTCGTAGCTTGCACAGCTGGCAAGCTAGTGTAGAGTCGTAGAGTCTCTGCTTGTGCGCAAGCCTAAGTCAGTAGAGCTGCGTCACGCTCTGTCACTGGGGGCGTAGAGAGCTTTGCCAGCATTTGCGGACGAGGCTGGGAACACTGCCTTGCTGCCTTCTGGTTCCAACTCCCTGGTGCACCTCAATCAGGCAGGTTTCCAGTTTTGGGCCTTCCCGTTCTTGCACCCGCCAGTGGAGATTGTGCGGGACCTCTGTTGCCGCTCGAAAGTTCAAGGACCCAGAGTTACAGCACACTTGCTTCCCACGTCACTATTGTGAGTTCAGCCCTTACAGCCATGACGTGTGCTTGTACTAGGGTGCTCAGTTTGGGGATGGAGTTTGCGGGGCCTCTGGGCCATGTAAGTAGCTTGACTCTTCATGGCAGGTGTTCGTGACGCACAGCGCAGGCTTGGCCAACAAGGCCAGGGAAGATCTTGCGAGCCCGGGTTTGCAGAGATCTCACCTTGGAAGGTGCTGGAATACTTCACGAACATGCAGCAGAAGAGTCAGAAGAGCATGACTTCCCAGAAGGAGCGCTTGGGAGGTTGGAGTAACAGAGGGGTCTTAAGAATTACCTAACTATTTTGGGGTTCCTTATTATGATTACAGTATAGTGGGCCCCCTATAGAACTGCACTGCGAAGCATGCAACTAAATCACTTCCTTGCAGCTGATTGCAGTGTGCACGAAGCGACAATTACGTCTGCCTCTGACCGTCCCAGGAGGTGTCCCAGGAGGCGTTTTTTGCGTCCCAAGTCCTGGGATGTATTGAGCAAGCTCGCCGTTATGGTGGATTGGACTCCGAATGGACCAGCATGCTGGCCGAGGCTGGTTCAGGGCATGAAAGGGAGGGTCTGTGGAATTTCCGAGGTTTCTCACCGAGGCTAGAACCCAAGTCAGAGAGACTGAGAGTTGGGGCGCGTGTCTACGATGAGGGCCAATCTTTTTCTGGCACTGATCGAGGCCATCACGGCAATTGGCAGCATGCATGCGCGGGTGGACTCCATACTCAGAGATCACGGCTGGCTGGGAAATCAGTTCTCCGCGCCGCCACGCATCGACGAGCTCGCAAAAGACTTGGAAAGCTGTCGCAAGGCGCGGGGTTTTGTCGAAGCTACACAGAGGGGCTCTTGGGACCGGCGCTGAAATGCTGCCTCCGATGAACTCACCGGGAAAAGAGGGTTTTCAGAAGGCCACCATCTAGAACCAAAAAAGCCCCAAAAACCATACAAAGGCACGAAGATCCCTTCTTAAGACTCGTCTTCCTTTCCAGGAGTCTGCGGTGACGACGCGGAGCGCTCTTCCACGGTCAGGGCTGCTGGAGCAGTCCAGGCATCGGGGCTGTTGACATACATGTATGTACATTTATATGTATACATGTAAAAACAGATATGCACAAAGAGTTATCGATGTAGGTCTAGGCATAGATATAGAGACGACTGCAACTCAATCGCCACCGGCAACCTCAAGCATGTTCGCACCAGGTTGTCGTATACACTCAGCGTAAGAGGGCAATATCGCAAGCATGCCCTGCCATTGACGAATCCTCGTGCAATCGTTTGCCAGGCATCCTGACAACATCCTTCGCGTCAAAACCTTTCCCTTGTTCGTGACGCCACCTGGCTGTGAAACGCAAGACTTGCTTATCCCGGAGAAACCTGGGAGCTACCGTAGGTGTGTTTGCAGATTGGGGATGTCAGCGTATTGTGTTCTGCTTCGTGACCACACAGGGGGGAAACAGGAGGCGACCGAAATCACTGGCAGACCGGCTCGACACCACCGGGACTCCAGGGCCAAAATGCTTACCTCCGATCCACTGGCGGGATTGAGGGATGACGCGAAACTTTCCCTACCCTCCAAATGTATTCGCAGGGTTCAGACACACAACGAAGGGGCCCGAGTGGGACTGTGTAGACACTGTGGCATGGCCACGGAACCTCAGCGGCAGCCGACTCATGCAGTTATTTCTACAAGAGTAGAGCTAAATAGAGGTCCAGTTTCAGACTCGTGCACCTGCATCAACGCGCACATGTAGAGTTAAGTGATTCTCAACATGAGTACATCAACCTGAGAGCCCAGGTTCCGCAAGTTCTTGATGATGCTGGATGGTGCCCCTGCTGCGCTCTGGGAAGCCCTGAACTGTAAGCTTAAGGCCGAGGATTAGAAGCGTAATCCCGGAGGAGCAGCATGGTCGAGACATGTCGAGACCGTTACATCAATAGACACTGATTCGGGTCTTCTTTCGGACTGATAAGAAAGGTTCTTCAAGCTGTACCAAGGAAGCTTGAAGCGCCCATTCTTCCCACGCCGTGGTACCGGCGGAGATGTTCACCCCGAGAAGGCTTCTATGGCTTGCAGGTTTCAGGTTGGGTCTCGGTACTATTTTGAGGATTCCTTATCATAATTATAGAGTATATATATATATATAACCCCAAACACTATTCTAAATATTAGATCTAGGTGTTGAAACAGCTGAGAGGTGGGCTACTTGGGGTTCCTTCCTTGGCAGAGATCACATGTGGAGTTCATAGTCCAGGGGTAGAAGGAACGTGAAGTCCCGGCCCCAGAGGGCCTCAATAGCTACGATAAATATTGTGGGGTTCCTGATTGTAATTATAGTGCACTGGGTCCAAAACTCTATTCTAATTAGTCAGGCTCCGAGACTAAACTTGTATAGTAACCCTCATAGTAACCCTTGAAACGAACCCCTAAAGGAACCCTTTTCTACTTCCAAACCCTTCCGTAAAGACCCTAAACCCTAAACCCTAAAGTCTCAGTTCCCGGCGCCCGAAGCTGAGCCCGGCAGGTGACTCAAGCGGAGGCGGCAGACGGCCTGGACGCTTTGGGGAGTTTGGGGCCGGTTTGGGTACTACAGTTGATGATATACATCCTGCATTACCCATAATGAGGACTATGCCGTAATTCCCGTAGTTCAGGGTCCTTAAGGCAATGCAGGATTTATATCATCAACCGTAGTATCTACTGAAAGGTTCATATGAGAGCCGCATAAGGGATAGTTACTGCGTGTTACTGATTATGAGGGACGGGAATTTTCGGATCTGGGTTTTGGGGCTTTCAGATTGCCGCAAGACGATAGAGGACCCAAGGACCACATGATGATACAAGTGCCAGCAAGTCTGCGTTTCGGAATCGGGGAGTCTCTTTAAGACGACTTTTACATAATCCTAAATTCCCAAAGGCTCAAACCCTAGGCCCTAAGCCCTAGACCAAACAAGACCCCGAACCCTAAACCCTAAATCCTGAACCTCTAAACCCTAAACTCTTGGGCTAGTTTTACCTTGAAAACCTTCAAACGATTCGAGGATCCCATCTCGGCTCTTCGCGAGCAGCGCCGTGCCGCGATTCGTGCAAAGGCCTTCGGACGCCGGATCCGATTTGCTAAGGGTGCCCTTGAAGGAACTCTGAAGAAGACTAAGAACCCTTGCAGGAACCATTGGAGAACCGGAAAGGATCCCTTACAGGAGCCCATAAGGCTCCTAGCAAAGGAATAAGAGTTTGGGGTTTTTGCCGTTTAGGGCTTTTTAGGGGCTTGTGGTTTAGAGGTCCGGGATTCAAGGTTGAGGCTTCGGGATCAGGCCCTTAAAGGGCCAGCGTAGGGTTCGGGGCACAGGTTTTGGGGATTCGGGACATAGAACTCAGCTTTGAGGCGTTGGTCGAGTGTTTCGGGTTCAAGGTTCAGGTTGAGATGTTGCTGCGTGACCGTTTAGGGTTTAGGGTTTGTGGTGGATCGCTGAGTTAGTAGGGGAATCCAAGATGTAGCGGCGGATTCCACGGTTGGGCTACCTGGGACAAGTAAGGTTTCAGGTAGGTCACCGGATGCTGGACGAGCTAGCAGAGAGCTTCAATGCAACAGTTCTGAAGTTTTTGTGGCCCGAAGCCCTCAATGGTTGGCACTGAGTCGCTGGTACCTCAAACGACTGCATCGCCTATGTTGAATTGCGCTGGTTTTTGGATTTAGGGCTGCGATGCTCAAGCCCCGCAGATCGGGAAGCCTTACCCCCTCGTTTGAAACCAGTCACTCACAAGTCACTTTGGCAGGCGCTGTTCAAGAACAGTACTGCGGCAGCAGCTCGACGGCGGTTACGCCCCGCTTTCACAGGGATAGGCAGGGGCAATCTGGCTAGTTCGGTTGACATCGGCCTTGGTATTTGTGATACATGAAAAGCTGCAGCAATGTGGAACAAAACTAATGTTCCTGTGTCGCATTATGCTGCGTTTGATCCTCCTTGGGTTTCTTCAAGGGCAGGTGAGCAGTTTACAGGTATGCAAGGCGATTCATGTGGTGGCAGCCCTGCCTCCTAAACCTTACACCAGCGTAGGAATAGTTGTCCTAATTGGGGCATTGAGATGCCTTGCACAGACACGGAAAACACGGTATCAAAGGCAGGGCAGACACGCGGATGGGCAACAAGACGTGTCCACGGATCGATATGATGATATGCTATATACAGACATGCAAACCCCACATGTATATGTGGATCACATAAAAATACATATAGAAATCATGAAACATGTAGTCTGTACATATATATATATATATATATATTTATTTATTTATTTATTTATATATATATATATATATAGGTGTATGCGTGGATGCATGGACGTGCGTCTTGATGCACCATCATACCAGTATATATATATATATAGTTACATATATCGATTGGCCTTATCTTCTGGGCGTCTCTTACATGGTCGTGTAGTGTGGCCTTACTTGCTGTAGGATATTGGCATGTATGTCTGTATGCATGCATGCATGGATGCATGGATGTGTGTGTGTGTACATATGTGTGTATGGATGTATGTATGTACGTATGTGCACTTGTGCATGCATGCATGCACGCATGCAGGTATGTAAGTATAGAGGGAAGTAGGTGGCAGGGGGGTATGTGTACGAGTATTATACGTACAAGAAGAGCAAAGCATACATGTGCATATAGGACAGTTCTGCAAAAAAGCAGGACAGCAGCCAGGCACACATACTTAGCTGCGTTATACTCCGCCCTAAGTCCTCAATCGTGCATAACTTTCAGACCTCTGGCTCTGACTCCTAGGAAGGCGACAAAGTGCTGACGGAGGTGGATTACGACTTGTTTGAGACCAAGTTCTGGCCCAAACTTCGCCAGAAGGCCAAAAGCTTGTGTTCGGCATGTGAGAGATTGCAATCCGCTGCCTTCCCCGCTTTAGGTTTTAATGCTGAGGGATCCTAAGGGTGGCTTTGGTTGCTTCAGACTGCGTCACAATGCCCTCGCGAGATGGAGAAAGAGTAGGTTTGACCGCGGGAGGTGCCGGCCGTCGATGATGCCATGTTGGTCTGGAAGGAGTTCATGCTGCTTGTCTAGCATGGGAGCGGATGAACACGATCTCTCTTTTGTTACATGAGCCATCACTCCTGTCGCGAGGGACCAGCAAGCTCTCCGGTTCAGAAATTCGGCCATGTTCGGATGGGCTTTAACTGAGAAGTCGTGCTGCCGACTCTGACGTTCTAACTTGCCCCAAGGCACGCAAGAAGCTGAGGTCGTACATCAAGGGCAGCTATCGTGTGCTTGCCGCTTTGCAGCACCCAGGCGCATGAATTGGCATTGCTTGTTTCCGACCCCCTTGTGCCTGACGCGTACTCTGCAGACAGATCGGACTTTTCCCTTGACGTTGCCTTTTCGCCAGAGTTAAGTTTCTCCCTGCTGACGATAAGGATTCGGACAAGGGCCACCTTGACTTGGAAACGTATCAGGAGGTGACCAGCAAGTGCTCCCCAGGTGGCCGCAGGGTTGTGCAAAATGCGAGGGAAAGCCGTCGCCTCAGCCACGTTCTAGCGAACTGCAGTCAACCGATGGCGTAGTCCACTGGCAAGGGCAGCTAAGTCAGTAATATATGTATACTTTTATATGTATATATATATATATGTATATATAATCCTAAACAAGACAGTATCGTAGAAGTCATATATATATATATATATATGTATGTAGATAAGTGTGATGAGTAGTATAGGCTGGGTTAGGGTGAAGCCGCGGGCAGCAGATCAGACCCGAATGCCAGGTGTAAAGGATCACCGCGAGCAGAGCCTTGACTGGGGACAGTTCAGCTGCTGAGTGCGGTTCCTTTAAAGGGATCTACAGGGGTTCAGGGCTCCTTTAAAGGGATCTGTAGGGGTTTAGGGTTTTTTAAAGGGATCTATAGGGGCATAGGGCTCCTTTAGAGGGATCTAGAGGGGTTTAGGGTTCCTTTAAAGGGATCTATAGGGGAATAGGGCTCCTTTATAGGGGTTTAGGGTTCCTTTAAAGGGATCTTTACCTTTGGTTAGTAGGGAATGGAGGAATGGGGTACAAATATAACTACGATTACTATATTTCTTCCATTCCCTACTAGCCAAAGGTAAGAGTTTGGGTCACGCTTGCACGGCCCGAAGATTCCGTTTGGCCATGCTCTCCGTCTGAGGATCTTCAAAGCCTTCAAGTCTTACGAGCAGCTGAAAAAAGATTGGCATGCCTTCGACAGGACCGAAACTCCTCAGAGTTTGGCATTCGTGAACAGAGCCATCAAGTAGCCTAAGCTTGTGTAAGGGCGCAAGGATGTGTAGTCAATGCCCATGGATATCGATGGCGCGATGCCAATTGCGCATGTAGCCGTTAGACTCTTGTGCTCGCCAGGATGGACGTGGCACGCTATGTCATTCAACAGCTGCCGTTTGCCTGCAGTTAAGTCAGCCGCGAATCTGTTCTAAAGTGCCGAGACAAGGCCATATCGGTCATGTGTTGCACCGTGTAATCAACTACAGGCACAATCATCAGCTTGTCTCGATCAGTGCCTTTCTGACAGTCGGCAGCCTATCACGCCTGGTTTTTGTGGAAGTTCGCAGCTTCATTCGTCTCTGAGCTTGTGCGTCCAGGCGAGAGCACGGGTATAACGGCCCGCCAATTCACGCATCAGCTGTCGACGAAGTTCAGGATTTGGCGCAGCCCTGGGCTCAGATGTTCCATCGATGTGGTCTAGTCAGCAAGCAGGCAGCATGAAGTCTGCGCTCGCGGCTTCGAGCCATGTGAGCCACCTGAAAACCCTAACCTGACCCTATCAACCGTGACAACGAATTTGGGTTGTGAAGGCTGGAGCTCGCACTGTTTTTCGTGGTCATGAAGAAGCCTTACGAGGAGCCTCACGGCTGTTTCTGTTTGTTGAGCATCACCCCGCAGGGAAGCCCACATGAGACCCAAGCACTTTGTCATGCTCCTGAAGCGCATTGCGCTGGGCACATCTGAAGCGAGAGACCATGTGCAGACAGGACCTCTTCCTTACGGGTGACACATCCCAGACGGTCTCCCGTGCAGTGGAGTTCCGCTTCTGTGACCTGCGGTCGATCTTCCACAAGTTCAACGGCGGGGAAGAAGCGGCGTGGTCTGGATTCGGACCCTTTGCTTTCTCTTGCCCGCTGAGAAGGACCCAGAGGCAGATGCTTGAGATGCTTCGAGCGTATCGGAACCCTTCCTCAGGTCGGTACGTCTGACTTTGCTCCGAGCATGTCTTAGGTTCCGGAGCTTGACCAGCTGTTGATCAACTACCGCAGCCATCAGAAGCCTCTTGAGTTTCAAAATTTCAGAACCTTTCGGCGGGGGTTCGAGCCCAGGATCGCACACCAGCTGCCCGTTATGTATATCGTGGACTGGCAGTTAGCCTCTGCTATATCAGTCCCTGGACTTGCGAGCGTTACAGCAGGTGATTCAGGGCCTTCTTGAGTAGACCCTAAACCCTAAGCCCTTTTTGTGCTTGATCCCTTAGAAGGGGAAACTTGTATTTCAGCCTCCGCCCAGACGAGGATCCTTGCGCTGTCGCACCGCGGCGTGGTGCGGCCGCTGGAATTGGCCTTCCCGCCACCTGTCGGAAGTGGACCAGTTTCCAACCCAAACCTACCGTTTCAGGAGTTTTCGATCATTTTGCATGAAAGGGCCCTAAACCCTAAACCCTAAACCCCTAAACCCTAAACCCCTAAACCCTAAACCCTAAACCCCTAAAGTATGTCTGGCTCTGGCGTTTGTTGTGGAGAGAGGCGGCCCGGTCTGACTTCCGTGTAAATTGGGCACGCCTCCACAGAGGTATCACCATCGGGTTTTAGCCTATGGGGGTTAGGGATCCCTAGGGTTCCTTTAAAGGGATCTATAGGGGTTCCTTTAAGGGATCTATAAGGGCATCATAGGAGGCCAAAAGGGGTTTTAGCTTCTGGGGGTTTAGTAAGGATTAAGGTTCCCATAATAGGGTTCATATTAAGGAATCCCTACCCCAGCAATCTTACCACAGAGGTACGGTTGATGATACAAATCCTGCATTACCCATTATAAGGAGTATACCATAATTACCATAGTTTAGGGCCCTTAAGGTAATGCAGGATTTCTATCATCAACCGTATCACCATCGTCATGCTCTTTGTTATCGCTTTTTCTCCGTGTTAAGACCATCAGGACTAGTAGAAGGAGCATGATCACCTATTTCCTGTGACGCTCATTGCGAGCACCAGTATCACAGACCCTTTGTGTTTTTGATGCCTCTTTCGAGAAGGAGCAAAACACGCACCCGAACCCGGAGCCTACAGCCTAAGGTATGCTATTGATGAGTTGAAGGCGGACCAGGGCCATCGGGACGCTTTGCTGGGTCCAGGAATGTACTTGTCTTCCATGCGAGAGTCAGGGTTTAGGGTTCAGAGTCATAAGCGACCAGAGTCAAACATGTGCGGAATCATACTTCTGTTATTTAAACATCATCGTGGCAGCAGCACTTGTATTGGCCACGACTGAATAGCACGAAGAGTTCTAGCACCAGCAATATGCTGCTCCCATTCGGTTGCTGCTGTGTGAGTTGACATGTGGCTTTTTGACATGTGCCTTAGGTTGAAGGCAGATGTACGACAAGGGTCTAGGGCGCGAGGAGCGCCCCTCAGAAGTCCGTACCCTTCTTCCTCTCATCGAATCCTTGAGCCATAGAGCGACAATGCCACCTTAGAGCCTGAAAGTGGGCGGAAGAGAGCCCGGAAGGTCTGCGGTCCCTACGCGTTTTCAGCAGCCGTAGTGATCGAAACTAGGGCCGTCGTTAAAGCTCTGCTAAGATGATGCCTTCCGCTTGAGTCCTTGCAGTATGCAAGGATGGTGTGCGCCCTGTCATCGTCACCGACATGCCACTGGAGGATCCACCGTACCGAAGCACAGGGCTCAGAAGAACGTGACCCATTGCCAGGACTTGGCCCAGCACATGTTCAACCTCCCTGGGTGTGGCCTGGCAATATTTGGCAAGCTGGTCGTGCGCCACCTCAAACCAGCTCATTCTTGCTTCATGTTGCAAGGCAGTGCCGGCATTGCCTTCGGCGCGAGCCAGTGCATTCTGGCCTTGGCCCCGACGTTTCCTAGCATTGTGTGTCTCAGCGGTTCCAGTGGAGTACTGATGAGATACTTGCTTAGTCGGTTTGGGCGATTTGTTCGTATGAAGCCGAAGGTTCGCAACGAAGAGTCGCGAGACTTGGCAAAGCAATATCACAGCCTATATTGGTACGGTAGAAGAAGAATCGGTTGTAGTTCTAGTACAAGTAGTCGTAGTAGTAGTAGTAGTAGTAGTAGTAGTAGTAGTAGTAGTAGTCATAGTAGTCGTAACAGTAGTAGTAGCAGTAGTCGTCGTCGTTATCGTCGTCGTGTTCGTCGTCGTGTCGTCGTCGTCGTTGCAATTGTAATCGCCCTAGTTGTGGTCGTGGCCGCAGTCGCGGACGCCGTCGTAGCCATAGCCAGTCGTCGTCATAGTTGTAGTCGTAGTCGTACCCGTAGTCGTCGTTATAACCGTAGCCGTAGTCGCAGCCCCAGTCGCAGTCGCAGTCGTAGTCGTCGTCATAGCCATGGTGGTCGGTTGTCGTCGTGGTGGTGGTGGTGGTGGTAGTGGTGGTAGTGGTGGGTGGTGGTAGTTTTAGTAGTAGTAGTAGTAGTAGTAGTAGTAGTAGTAGTAGCAGTAGGAGTAGCAGTAGGAGTAGGAGTAGGAGTAGGAGTAGGAGTAGGTGGTGGTGAGGAGGAGGAGGACGAAGAGGAACAGTCGCAGCACATTAAGCAGCAGTCGTTGTCGTTAGACTGGCTGTAAAACCGAACGTGCCACCCGTCACAGCTATCACAACCTTGATACAAATTATCTTCGTCAGCCTTTCTTCATCGCCGACACCATCCATGTATCCAGGAGAGGCAATCATCGGCATGTTCGTACATGTTAGAGCTACCGATCCCACGGGCGCAACAACAGCCTCAGCGCTAAGTCAACACTTCAGGAACCGTGTGTAGTCTTGCCATCCAGTTTCCTCCAAGGAAAGAAGCTGCCGAAGACATTGTCCAATGCACTCGTGCTCACAGTGGAGCAGTCCAAGGGCTTGGAGTTTGACGAACCTTGATCAGTGTCAAGTCGTGCTCTTACCCAGAGTGTAATCTTATTCCGACATCGGTACTCATAATATTGGGTCTAAAGTGTTACCAAATATAGTATAGTATAATATGACCCAAAACCATGTTCGAAGCATAGCCCCCTCCATAAACACCCTTAACACGGGAGTCGGCCCGAGGCTTTGTTGTTTCGGTTTCAGAATGGCCCCTACTGCCATACCCCCATCAGGTAGCTTAATGACGACTGCAACCTTTTCTTCCCCAAGTGCTTCGAAACCATAAAGCTTAAACTACAAGGCTACCAACTTATGAAGCCAGAATGTCAGACTTGAAAACCATGCCTGAAAACCTTGAGTGGTTGAGTGTTCGTGTGAGTCAAGCAGTGAGTGGTGCAAAGAAGTGCACGCTCAGACTGAGTGAGCTTTCTTTTGGAGAAAGGGGGCTACTGCATTAACAAAAAACGGTGGCAGCCTGGTTATCGCTAGTACACTGGAGTCCGTTCTCCTATTTCTAGGAGGGAACCCTACGGTAAGTACCCTTCAAGCAGGACTTTGATAAAAACCTACAGGACCTTCCAAGAGGCCCTATTATGAAACCTTGTATCACCTTTTCTGAGTACAGAAGCCCAGGACTGCATCCTGGTAAACTTCTTCACAGACTCCCTCTACAAGGAGCCGCTTGGACGGGCAGCAAGCTTAAGGCTTTGGGGTTTTAGGGCTTATGGCTTACGTGTTTCTTTACCGTAAGGGTTTAGGGCTTCGGACTTGTGGTTAGTTACTATACGAGTTTAGGGCTTAGAGCTTTAAGGATTAGTTGCTATAACGGTGACGATCAGGCTTTTGGGGGTTTAGGGTTATCTATCAGGTTGTTCTCAGTGCAGTCACTCAGCCAAATCAGGAGTTACCGTGCCCAATTGCATCACCTCGGCAAGCTAAACTCAGAACCTTAGGCCGTATCGGGTTCGTCTTTGGGTGAAGGCAGGCAATCTTGGCTGTGGGTTGTTCAGTAGAGACCAAAACGCACGAAGTAAGAACTCAGACGAGGAGCTGTTGTTCTGGACATCCTAAACCATAACCCTAAACCCTAAACCCCTAAGCCTTCGACCCGAAACCTTAAGTCAGCTTCAGTTTTTCTTTTAGGCACGGCCACTTTTAGGCACGGCCAGATCCCTGCTGCAGGGCTTGGAGAGGAAATTTGGCGAATCGCAGAGACCCGGAGTTGTAGGATCCTTACTGTAGAGACCTTATCCCTGACTTTAAGAAACTCCCGAAAAGCCCAACATGTTCTTGCAACGGCGAGTCATCCACGACTTTCGCTAGGTGGCGCACGATGGAGGTGTTCCGCCCAGAGCTGCTGGAGGAACGTGGGGCACTAAACCCTAATATAGGGGCCTTCATAATTACCTAGACTAGTTTGGGAGTTCCTTCTTATGACTATAGTATCATGGGCCCCAAAACCCTATTCTAGAGTGTGCGTCGGCGTGAGGGCCCGCTTTCCTCGAGTAAACAAGCGTTTTTTTTTCAGGTTTTTAGTACATTTTAATTGATTTTCATACCAGTACGAAATGCATATGCACACATGGAGCATGGAGCGGCATTTCTATGGACACGATGACAATATGAAAGTGAATATTCATACAGTATACTATAATGTAAATGCTATATAAGCTGCGTACTCACTTCAGGTTTTGGATGTACTTGCGATCATCTTACATTTCGGCGTCCTATCACCTCCTATTGAGGCTTGGGTTTTGGATCTCATTATGCCCACTAGAGTTTGGTAGTTTTGATGCCATAGCACGTCTCAAGGTACCGCCATCGTATCCTTTCGGGTTTGGGTCTATACCATATCTCAATCAGAATTGTCCGACTCTGTGGCCGAAGAGATCTTTTCTTTTAGATTTTTTTTGGTCGGAGAGTGGGGATTGCATATGAAGCGCCTTTAATCCCATATTATGGTTGAAAAAAGGAAGCCTGTAAACTTGTTCATCAAGTTCTGCTTTGAGTTTAGGATAAAATACTTCCAATTGGGTTTTGATTTTGTTTTTTAGGCTATTTGTGAAGGGCAAATGAATATCATTTAAGATTTGCCGCCCGTCATCTCCTGGGAACATTGGGTTATCAACCATCTTTCTCTGCAGGCTTTGCGGCTTTCCATGACCCAGCAGCAACGTCTATGGATGCAGGTTTATTAACCGTCATATCTCCACTTACAGTTGGCGGATGTATGATATGATGCCTCTTATCTTCTTCGGAGGTTTCGGGTGTTATACTCCAACCTATAGAAGAGAGTTTTGGATTATGGGAACCTAATCACCGTCTTGGAGCTTGGTCGCATTCAAGATGTATTGAAGTTTAACGGATGTATTCTTCTGTATTAGTCTTTTTTGGCTGGAAACCTTAACTGCAGCATGTATCATATGTCACCAGAACCTATCATAGGCTATCACATCATCTTGTTGGGGTTTGAATCATCATAGTGTCGGGATGGTTTGGAACCGGTTGCACCTGTTCGTGATTATGAACTGAAGCCTGTTATGCTCTTTGGGAATTTTGGTTTGTTGCTCAACCTACAAAATGTTGAGTCTTTCAGAAGCCAGTCATGGTTTTTTTTTGCCGGGTTAGTGTTCATCATCTCTTTCGCAGGTACTGAGTCCGACATCTGATACAAACTACAAGGATTTGGGCTTCTCGCGACATAAACCCCTACTACTTCTAGAAATTCAAAATTTAAATGTTGTATTATTTTCTATGTCACTTTCTCGGATTAGGGCTCGGGGTTCTTAGGAACCCGTCTTCCGCATCTCCAGAAACCGAATCATCCACAGCCTCAGGGATGAAGGTATTCTTCTTGGCGATGCCTTGTTAGAGCAGGGTTTATGGGTATAGGCTTATCCCTCAGAGTTTGGGACGCCCATCACCCATCATCTTCCTTTCTGAGAATTGGATTGTATATCTCATGCGAATGGATGGGTCTGTCACTTATCATTCATGTAGTGGTAAGGTATGTGCATTATTGGAATGCCCGTCATCAGTATAGTTGGAAATAAACAACCTGAATGCTTCTCCTGAAAACCATGATCAATACGCTCCAAATACGAGTGTTTCCATCGAAACACACGACCCGTGGAAGGGGCAAAGGGGGACCCTTTGCAAATATTTCAACCTCATGCCCCACATGAACCTGTATATTTCTGCACATGTCTTTCTGGGGACTTACGTGTCAATATAGTATTGCGAGAATATAATGAAAATAGTAGTCCCAATTTATAGCTATGCTTTCGGGAGTGGCAGAATCATCTTTCAGTCCGGGATGCCCATCCTTTCCTTTTTGACGGATTGGGTCGTCTTCTCCACGCTGTATATAGTATTAGAGACTGCGCGAGTGCTTGTCATCAGTTCTGAGAATCAATCTTATCTATTCTTTCGATCCCCTTCACTAAACACACACAAAGAAACGAATGTTCCGGTTGAACACGCCAACGCTGCAAGACATGAAAACAGTCCATCCCCATTGTATTTGGTGGTTAGCATGTAAGTATTTCTGCGCGCTAACCTTATGATAGCCTATGCTTTGATTTTGTGAATGCACAATACTGTCACGAAGATATACATATACTTTCGAGCCATCATCTACCAATTTTACATCACCAGTTTTACATATGTATCAAAATCAATGCCTATGACTGCACCTGAACATACAGGCCTGAAGTTCATAGAAATAATTTAAGCAGGTATGCACATATGTCATCCATCTATGCATACATTTATGTATGTATATATGTATATATGTATATATGTATGTAAGTATGTATATATGAATGTGTGTGTATATGTATGTAGGTACACCGCTTTTCTGTGGATGCATATGCACATGTGAAAATAAATGTGTATGTATATGTATGTATCCATGTATGTATGTACTTGTGTATCGATGTATGTATGTGTGTATATATATGTATGTATTTATGCATATGTCTACAGATATATATATATATATATGTTTTTGGGATGTCACATCATACCATATATACACATGGAGACACAAGCATTGTGATGTGATGCATTCATATATATAAACACTTTGACATACACATATGCATATATACACAGGCTGGGTATGTGAGGGGATATACGAATGTCATATGATATGTAGAAGGACAACCTTGATAAGTGTGCTAGGTTTGCGAATTGCGAAGGACAAGAAACAAGCCTTGCGCGCAGTGTCCTTCTTTGTCATGGATCTTGCCCAAATCCGAAACCTAAAAGATTCGCGCGCTTTAAGTTTTCGGAAACGCACAAGCCCTTCCGGGCTGGGTCCAAGCTTACGGGCTCCGGCTCCCTGGCCTAGAGCGGGGGGGAGGGAGGGGGGAAGGCAGCGAGGCCAAACAAAAAAAAAAAAAACAATAACAGAAAATAATTTTATTATTATTATTTGTTTTTTTGGTTTTGGCCTCGCCCCCCTCCCCCTTCCCAAAAGCCATAGGCAAGAGCACAATGGGTGGAAGGCAGGCCTTTCTTCCCGTGTAAGCTCCACGTTCTTTCCTTATCAGACGCCGTTCGGGGCCGTTCTTTTTAAATTGTGATACTTTTTTAAGACAGCACTTAAAATTCGGTTTTTTTACGAATACAACAAAACCGGGCCCTGAGGGTGACGCTTTCTGCTATTCTAACCATTAAGGCCCCTATATTAAGCCCTAAACCCGAGCCCTTTCAATGTACACATGGCCTTGAGCCGGATGATATGGCGAGATAAGTCAGGGTTGCTTGATCCGGGTCTCCTTTTTTGGGGGGTTTAGGGTTTAGGGTTTAGGGTTTAGGGCTCCTTTTGGGTCAAACTAGACCCTAAAACCCTAGACGAGGATAGTGCTTGGATGCTTTCGCATGCCTTGCTCCCATGCCAAGCATCTTCGGGTTTAAAGGGGTTGTGGAGTGCATCGCTAGAAGATTCCACCACCCTGAGCCCTTATACCCTCCTGCGAGCTAATACAACTTATATTGCTGTTGTAGTTGTGCCACTGGTGTTCCGCTTCCTGCCCTCGAAGCGATCTCCACTTCGGAGGAGTCCGCGCATCACAAGCGGCCGCACTTTGAGAGCATTCGCCATGCGCTTCTCTGTGCCTGGTCTCGACACCCCTAAACCCAGATGTCTGTTGAAGCAAGGTCTTGGGGCATTGCTGAAGCTTGCGTGACCAGCTACATCTCCAAAAGCGGGACAGCAAACCCTGAGCCCTAATGTAGGAACCTGATTAAGAAATCCTGGGCCTATAACCCCCAAAATAGTAGGATTCATATAAGGAACCCTAATAAAGTACCCCAAACCAAGGCCCTATAACCCCTTAAAATAGGAGGATTCATAGCAAAAAGCTTTTAAGTCCCCTGAACGCGAAAGCCTTGGCCTTGAGCCTTCGCCAGCTTCGGAGGGAAGGAGGCTGCATTGGGACTTCATGAGGGTTCCTTTAAAGGGTTCCTTTAAAGGGTACCATATAAGGGTTCTATAAGGGTTCCTTTAAAGGGTACCATATAAGGGTACTATAAGGGTTTTTTGCCAAAGGAGCACTGCAGGATGCCTGCTCCTGTGGTCCTAGGACTAGGATAGTGAATGCTGGGATGCAGTTGGCCGTTTGTTTCTGAAGACTGACTTGGGATGCTGGCTATGTTGCCACGAGCCTGGAGCCCCAATTCGATGTTCGAAGCAACTCCAAACTGCCATGGGGTGCAGTGCGGAAGACTCCTTTGGATTCCATAAAGTGCTGCGCTCGTTTCGTCTTTCTGGACTCCCTTCGCGCTGGCCTTTCTGTTCCGGGCTGGCAGGAACCCTTTTGGTAGGATTTGCTCTTTTTCCTTTCCTATTGGGTAGCAGTACTATTCCCCCCCTCTGCGAACTCGTGGCTCTCCTCATGGCCGCTCCCCGCCTGTTCGGCTGATGCTTGCACCCTTTCTCCTCGATGATTGATGATTGAAAGCTGCTGAGTGCGGTTCGCTTGGCAGAAAGTTGATGCTTCCGAATGGGCGACTGGGAGAACCAGGCGCCTGCAACATAGACTGCGACGGCTATGCTCGCTGTTGTGATCGACGATGCCGGTTGATACCTGCAGCGCATCAAATGATTGATTTGCTGCCAAATCAGCATGTTCATCTCCCCCAACTTTAGCAACCTAGCTTCTTATTTTTCCTGCTTCTCCCTTTGACTCACGGACACAGTGCCGACCCCGGCCGTCGATGGTCCAATGCCTTAGTGAGTGCTTGTTGCATTGTGGTAGATCTTGTCTCTGCAGTGGTACGGTATAAGTATAGATAGAAGCCTGAAGAATTACGTAGTAATGCTATTCCCTTGCTGAAACGCAGTTGTATTTCCAGTATGGTCTACATACAAGTCCAAGTCTAATGAGGATTTTAGCTTCGCTCTTTTGTGTTGGCTTCTCATGTCCACGGAACCTAACTTGCTCGAAAAGTTTACGGTGTGACAAGGTGTTATGGGGCTCGTTTTCGTGGATTTTCAGGGTGTCCTGTAAGCAAGTTTCATTCCTGGTCGTCATACAGACGAATGAAACAAATTCAGTAAGAGCCATGACGCGACCTGGACGCAGCGTGTTTTGGTACGGGCTGAATCTGCAGAACTTTTTCCAACATAGTATTGAAAAAAGAACATTACTGGGTTGTTTTGCAGCTGTAGTTTTGAGGTTCCGAGCTCAAGCACCTCTACACGGCCATCACGCGCACGAAGCATGTGTGTCCCAGCGAAAAGAGTTCTAGCTCTGCTTCTGGCGGCTGCAGTCTCCTTTGCAAGGGGTTTAGTGCCTCGGGTCTAGGGTTGATTCGTATGTCTTTTTAGCGTGTTTTACTTCGCAGCACATGTTGGAGAGTAGCATGGCTGCTTTCACGACACATGGTTCTGTGAGCTTAGCTTCACTCGCACATGGCACAAAACGACGGCAGGGTTGTCGAATGACACAAAAAGCAACTTGAGATCGTCATCTGGAAGTGTGCACGCTCAGGTTGCTGTTCATCGAGCAGGACACAACACAGGCGCCGGTGTGTACTCTTAAGAGGTTCTGAAGCAAGGTCTGCCGAATTGCATGCACACATTTAAGTGTCAGCGGTAGCGTGGAGGCACGTGGAACTGAAACGTATCCCAAACTTGCCCTGGACAGTGAGACCCAAACGGGCAGAGCCTTACAGCTCGAAGGTTTGAACCCTAAACCGAAAGAGTTGCTGACCCAGGCGGATCATGTCTTTAACCTCTGGCGTGATCTCGGCCTGGTGAGCAAGAAAGGACTTTTGGATCCCGAGAATGCAGAGGTGCTCACGGCCTATATGGCTTTGGGGGACAAAGGTGTTGTAGCTTCAATGTAATGGCTTCAATAGTATGTAGTAGCGTTGCCTGAGAGCCCTTGTGGTTTAGGCATTGTGTAACAGTCTTCCTCGGGACGGTCTTCGAAGTTGATTTGTCGCTGCTTATTAGATTTCAATGTTCAGGCTTCGAGATCTGACGGTCGACTAGAGGGGTTGGGGCTTTGGGCCGGCGAGTAATTGTCAGATTGAGGTTCCAGATTGAGTTTGATGGCACTTCCTGTTCGCACGGTCCCCCGGGATGTCAATGCAGTCTTCTTGGGATAATGTAGAATTCGCCTACTGTCCGGGGTTGTTTGGACTAGATGCTCCTTTCCCGTCTTGGTGAGGCCCGCGCTCAAATACACCAGCATGCCGGGGAGAACCGCGGTAAGGACATCTGTGCCTCCAGAGAACTCAGTTGCCGATCTTGGTGCGCTTGTTCTGAGTTAATATAAGGGCCTTAATAATTACCTATACTATTTTGGAGGTCCTTTCATATTTATAGTATAATGGGCCCCAAAAACCTTGTTCTAATTTTCAAGGCCCCTATATTAGGCTGGCAGTATATAAGTCCAAACGCCTGCTGTCTCGGACGACCCAGCACCCGAAACCGCCATGAGTGCATCGAAACCAGGCATTCATGTGCCCTGAGAGGAATCATGGGTGCAGATGGGTCATGGTCTCCTTCGACGGCACTTTGACTTCTCTATGGTTGCTGCACGGTTTTGTTGTGCGACAGCATGTTTCGGTGAACTTTAACCCAATGTTTAAGTTTATACTGCGTGTGCATCTGTGTGCTGTATACCTGCTGCCTTTTGCGCCGCAGCCAGGGGTAAAATCTGAGCATCTCTATCCGGATGCCCTACACCGCAGCCTGCAAACATGCTATGAACTTGTTTTTTCGGCGCAAATCCAAGAAGGTCCCTAAACTCCTAAACCCTCAGCATCCCTAAACCCTAAAGCCTAAGGGGCACTGAGCTCGGAAGCTTTTCGAAAGCCTGCCACATGCCCTGTGTTTTCAGGAAGCTTTTCGAGCCGGCCAAGAATGCTTTCTTGCGTGGAGAAGACGAGAACATGGCCCTTGCCTGAGCCTACAGCCGGTTGGGATGAGTCTGGTTAGATAGCATGCAGCTGTACGAAAAGATATTTCAAAAGCCACTCGGCCATAGAGTGTTATTTAGCCATGGTTATCGATATGCAGAGTTAAGTGCATGCATGCAGACGTCATGCGGACATGCGACAGCTGCACACAAGCACACTTCGTACACACGTAGCTACATGCTTATGTGCATTTCTACATGCGTACATACATACATACATGCATACTTACGTAGTATATATATATATATATATACATGCATACTCCATGTAAGAATAAACAAATAAGTAAACACATATAAATATAAATAAATAAATAATTATATATATATATATATATATCTATCTATATCTATATCTATATCTATATCTATATCTATATCCATATCCATATCTATATCTATATCTGTATCTATATCTATATCTATATCTATATATATATCTATATCTATATCTATATCTATATCTATATCTATATCTATATCTATATCTATATCTGTATCTATATCTATATCTATATCTATATCTATATCAATATCTATATCAATATCTATATCTATATCTATATCTATATCTATATCTATATCTATATCTATATATATATATATATATATATATATATATGTATATTATGCACACATACACATGCGAGCATATATGATCCCGGTTCGGCCGGCCCCCCCCCTCCCCCCCCCCCAATGGTTCCTCCTCCCCCTCCTGTGGTGTGGTGTGGTTGTGGGTTGCTTCCCCCTCCCTATGGTGTGGTGTGGTGTGGTTCGGGAGTGGGTCTGCTTAGGCTGGTTACCCCACTCCCCCCTGTGGTGTGGTGTGGTTTGGGTTTCCTGCGTGGGTCTGCTGTGGTGTGGTGTGGCTTCCCCTCCCTGTGCCCCCCTGTGGCGTGGTGCGGTTTGGGTTTCCTGCGTGGGTCTGCTTGGCGTGTGAGCCCTCGTCTGGACACACAGATTCGGCTTGGGGAGCGTGGGGGGGGGGGGGGTACCATTGGGGGGGGGGGGGGTCGGTGAACCGAGAACCGGGATCATATATACGCATACATACATACCTACATGTATGTGTGACCTCAAAGTTACTACAGCCCTGGTGCGGACTCTCGTTCGTATGTCCCGAGGCAAAGAGATGCGAGGCCTTCCTCAAGGCCGAGGAAGCGTCCAGGAGTGCTGGGTGGACTGGAAGGTCGGAATGCTTGAGCCCAATGTGAGTTCATATACGAGTCCATTGTGAGTTCATATAGGCCTTGCACGTCTTTTTTGTTGAATTGGAAGTCGCTTCCGCTGACTGTATAGCGCTCCCATTTTGTCAACTGAAACTAGAAACTGCGAGACCCCAAGGTTTGAATCTTTGCTGCAACAGCCCGGTACTTTGGAATGCAGATTTTTGGTCAAGTTCATAATAAGACCCCTCAAGCATCTGTTTCTCTCTCTCTCTCTCAGATTACTTCTGTATTATGAGGTTGAGGTGTCTGCCAATGATTCTGTGAGTTCTCTGGTGGTCACCATTGTAGAAAGGACCTTCGTAGAAATCTCACAGTATTTCATTTAATGACCGCCCTCTTCTTGAATTCCTGCGGCGCTTAGAGCCCCAAAGTCACCTTGCAAAAGTTTAGGGTAACCCTAAACCCGGAGCCCCGAAACCCTATAATAGGAAATCCTGAACCCTAAACCCTAAGTTTAGGGATGTCGAAGCCCGAACAAGGGAAAGTGTGTGCTTCTGCGCTCACGGCCGAAGTTAGAGTTCTCAGCAAATAATATGGCACCCCGCCATTGGTATCCCTGTAGTACGGCTCGTGCTATGTAGGAACTTAGGCTTAAATATGCATTAGTATATACAGATATATACACATACACACATACATACATGCATTCATGCATACATACATACATACATACATACACACGCATGCATGTATATACACGCACACGCACATACATACATATATATATATATATATATGTATATATCTACCTACCCACACCTATATATATATATATATCTGTACATTCATTTGGGTTCTGTATCTATGTTCCGAAGCTGTTACATCGTCCCGGAGCCCGGACCCGCAGGATGATGGAGGAATCAGAAGCGGACGGCCACTTGATGAAAAGAGAGGGCCTGGGGTTCAGGGTCTAGTGGTGAACCTAGTGGTATAGGGTTTAGGGCCTGGGTTTAGGGTCTAGTGCTACAAGGTTTAGGGTTGAGGGTTCAGGTTCTAGTGGTCTGGTCTAGCTTGAGTTTGCTATTTTCTGCGACTCTTCACTTGATGGTCCACTTCGTCTGCAGATCCGTTGCTCATCCAAGCACGAGCACTCCAAGTGGTCAATTTCCGCGGAAGCCGCAGGGTTTGGTTTTCCCCAACCTCAACTTGCTCCGGTTCGCCGTCCCCCAGCTGATGAAGCCTATGCCGGCTGCTTGAATTGAAGAGCCAAATCAAGATCCAAAGCCTAAGCCGTAAAGCCCAAACCCTGAAACCGTAAAGCCGCTGAACCCTTCATGAGGCATGCAGCTGTTCAGAGAAGCGGCGCAGCTCTTCAGAGAAACTGATGCGGGGCAAGAGCAGGCTCTTTCAGATGAAGCTCTCCACATAGCCATCACATTTGGGTTTTCAATGTGGTGTGTATACTTTTGAAAGGCTTGTTGATACTCATGTGGAACCCTACATTCCAAAAGCCCCATGCGCTGGGTTCGGAGCTGATATCCCGTAACGAAGTTGGCTGTTACTGTAATGCAACATTCATCTAAAAACTGTGATCCCGATCCTCCCTTGCAGGCTTTCAGACCCCTCTGAAGGGAGGCCGGATTGTAGACGATTTCTATGCAGGCCGAATGCTTGCTTCACGGTGGTCGTCCGGAAGAGGCCCGGGCTTCGACTTACGTTTGGTTAGTAGGGAATGGAGGAATGGGGTACAATTATATTTACTATTACTACCATATTCCTACCATATTACTATCATATTACTATCATATTACTATCATATTACTACCATATAACTACTATTACTACCATTCTTCCATTCCCTACTAACGAAAGGTAGGTCGAAGGATCCTGTCGAAGCCTCACGGGGCTTCCCAGCCTCGAAGTCGGAGGGGAGCTTTGCGTGTTGGGTGGTTGTCAATTTTCGGGTCCCTCTTTGGGTCCTTATTAAAAAAAAGGCCCCTGATATCTAGGGTACCCCAAAAAAGGGGCCATAATTTTGACAACCACCCTCTTGGAGTTTTAGGATTTAGGGTTCTGTTGCTTGTCTCAGAGTCTTGTGCAAGACGATGTGCCTCGGACCCGGGATTCTGATCTGCGCTTCGACGACGACAGGGGCTTTTGATACCCATGAGCGTCTCATGTGCGATGGTGTGCAAGTGAATCAAGCGCGCTTTGGGGTGCCATCTGTACTACAGAATGCAGCTCTATAGGGAAAGAAGCTGAATCCGAATAGAATTTCAAGGGCTGACACCGCTGACTGCTGCGACATCATTCAGGTTGAAACCTGAGTGCTAAGGCAATTCGAAAAAGTTGAGAGTATAAGACAGGAGTGTTCGAGCACCGCAGCTTACGTCCTCCGGGAAACTCCCATGTACATCATCTCCGCGGGGTCGGTTGAGGTTCAACTGCCTTGATTCTTTGGTCCTCACATCAGGGTCATCTGAAGCCTGAAGACGTGAACACCTTGAAGAACCAGTCTTCCCACCGCTGAAACGACGGAGGCTGCACAGATTCTGGAGAAATTTGGCAGGGAGCAGCCGGAGCTCAAGGCGCTCCGTATGGGGGTATTTTGACGTCGTTCCATGCATGCGTCGGCCGCAGGCTAAAGACCGGCAGTTTCCTCCCGTTTCCACCCCAATGGTTGGCCCCAATATGGTAGATACCAAACCCCCACAATACCCCCCCCTCTATAGGAACCCCATTGAAATTCTTCCATGATAGTAACCCTTATTATTAAAAGCCCCAAAGCGCTGCCGCTATTCTAATCAATTATATAGATCCCTTATAGAGCCCTTTAAAGGAACCCTTTCAAGGGAGCCCCCTTCGAGTTTTTAAGGCCCCAAAGATACCTCGGCTGGCAGGTGGAAGCTGCCCGTGCCTGGACCGTGGCTCGCAAGCACGCGGCTCGGAAAGCAGTTCGCGTCCTGTCGGGTTGCACATAAATGTAGTACACTATGATATGACCTACATATAACACCATATATATATATGTATATATATATATATATGTATAGTAGAGTATAGCATAGTATAGTATAGTATAGTATAGTATAGCCAAGTCCAAATTTGCAGCTGCAAATTCGTTTGCTTCGTAGGAAGCCTCTTTTGGAGTCTTCTCTGCGGAAGCTGGCCCCGCTCTCCCAAGCCTGCTGCCCTGAGAAGCGCGCGGCGGAAATCTACGAGGAGGCCGAGCAGTATCAGGAGTGTATCGAGGCCTATCTGAAGGCGGAGCTTTGAAAGCAAGAATGGGGTTTAGGGTTTAGGGTTTCGGGAGTTAAGCCTTTCGGAAGAAGATGTCGGGGTGAAGGATTTGTTTAGGACATTTAGTATTTAACTGTTCTTGGTCGTCTATGCCGGACCTTGCAACTTCAACCTCGCGGTATGACTTCTCAGTTCCAAGAGATATAGAATCCATGCAGCTGGATACTTGGGTCGGACTTGCGGCAAAACTTGATCTTGGTGTCGGAGCCCAGGGAGCTCCTCGGTTAAAGAGACACTGAAAACCTTGACATCAGTAGTTCGTACTGCTTAGGACCCCCGAAAGAGAGGTCCCTTGAACCCTAAACCCTAAAACCCCTATAACCCCTAAACCCTAAACCCAAATGCCGAAACCCTTACGTCTCGGAAACCCTCGCTTCTCACTGAGGACCTCCGGAATCAGGTCAGCAGGGTCGTGCCCCGCGCGCATCAGTCGGGTGCACTGAAGGCAGGGGACGGGGGGTGTCCTGAGGGTTCCCAACGTAGGTGATACGGTTTTGAATTGTATATATCCTTATAGTCCCTGTTTAGTAATAACTAATCAAGTAACAGTATGATATCCCTTGAAAACAGACTCTAATCACTGGAGGCACCTGGATTTTGAGCTGTGGCGACCCAATCAAAGGGGTTCCAGAGCAAGAGAAGTGATGTTGGGGGTATATTATACTATATCTATAATAAGGAACCTCCAGAACCCTATTCTAATTATTAACGCCCCTGCAGTGCTCCCCTGCACAGGCCGACGAGTGCTTCCGCTATTTGCAAGCACCTCAGCAGCAAGAAGCTCTCTGGATAAGCTTTGTTATGTGGGAATAGCTTCCCATCCCGTGGCCCTGACAACCCTCAACTCGGAACCTGCTTTCAGGAGACAGATGACCAGGAAACGGCTGGCATGCTGTTCTTCTGTGAGGACGAATTCGAGCACGCAGCTTCTTGCTACCGGTGCCTTGGTCGCAGGCTCTGGGTCACGGATGATGCTTTGGGGTGTTTATGGCTTGGGGTTGATAGGGGTTACGAGATCCAGGTGTGGCAGGCTCACCCCAAACCCTAAGCCCAAGACCCAAAGAGCTGATTCTGAGCTTTGCGATGTATCCAGTCAGGAGCGCAGGGAACCTGAAGAAAGAGGCCGGGAAAACTGAAATCAGGCTTGCAGCTTGGACCCCGAACTCGAGACTTCCACGAGCAAATGAAGCAACATCGCCTGAAAGCACACCTGCTGCATGCAGAAGAGCAGACCGACCTAGACCTAGACAGTTCGTTTAAGACCCAAGTTTTCGGTGTTGCGGCAATGATTGTAGCAGCTGGCGGGGTGGGCTTCGGCATGGGGCTTTCTCGGGACTTGTCTGGACAGGCAGAGTGCTACCTCAAACTCGGCGAGCCCATCCGTGCGGCCGATCGTCTCATCGCCAGTGACAACGCGGAGAGCTGGGGTGCCAAAGCTTTAGGGGGTCCATGTTTGAACAGGCTCCCCGGGGTGTGTTATTCAAATGATGTCAGGGCTCTATAAAGGAACATTAGTACTAAAAACCCTAAGCCCCCCAAAAACCCTAAAACCCTAAAAACTCTAAAAACTCTAAACCCCCCTACTTGTCCCGACCCAGCTTTTGGGCGGGAGCTCAGAGCCTCCCTGCAAAACTTAGAATCCGTGGGCAGAGCCTTTAGGGTCAACTTTGAGGGGCCTTAACACTGAACATATGGATCCTTTCATGCTTTGGATCAGCTTGGGAGACAAGCCCTAGCAACACACTTGTCAGGTCTGAAAGACTTTGCTGATGTGCTCCTTAAGCCCTTAACCGAAACCCCAAACCCAAAACCCTAAACCCAACCCCGATCCCTAAACCCTAAACCCCAACCCTAAACCCTGAACCCTGAGCCTTCAAAATCTGCCGTCTGATTGGAAGTGGGGCCGGAAATTGCCTCCGGGCCAGGAGTTTCGCCATTTTGCGACTTGCAATGTCTGATATAGGGACCAGAATACATACTGCTACCATTTCTTCGGGTTCCTTATTATTGTTGTAGCTATAGTATACTGTACCCCAACACCCTGTTCTAAAGTTTTTGGACCCTATATTGTGCCGAAAAGACAAAGCGATGGACACATGGAGACTCTAGATTCGGGATGCCTTCAAGGAAAAGTTGAGGACGGCTACTAAACTTTAATCCAGCCGAGAAAGCTCAGACTCCTAGGTTCTAGAATGTGAAGCATGGTTCGGAGTCCCTAGCCTTAAAAGCTTCAGTCCCTGCGAAACCGAATCCTCGAAGGAGGATTTACTTGATGCTGCGGAGCTTTACAAAGATCACCAGGAAAGCGCCAGTTTCTCTGAGGGTTCATGGTTCGAGGCTTGGGCTTCGGGGTTTCAAGGTTTCCTTCTGAGGCCTTTTGGCTGGTTTCTTTGCTACCCATGTGTTAGTACACTATGTTTAGGCTCAACTCCCAGGTTCTGGTCCTGAACGCCAAAAAGCGAGGGTCATGCCGCAGTAGGCTCAAAGCGAGTGTCAGGACTTCGATGAAGCCTGTGCCGCAAGTGCGCACAAGCCTTAGGCCGTAACAGCACCGGACACCCTGAGCCTCCAAAGCAGTAGCGCAAAACACTGTGAGCCTTGACAGTACTAGGTCCTTACGAGGTCTTGCACCGTGAGTACCACAGACCGAATCTCCAAAACTATCTGGCCGTACACTCCAGGCCCCCAGTCACAAGTCTACATCCCCGGGCTGACACGTTTGATGGGATCATTCGCAGCCAAAATCGAGGGGTTTGGCGTTCAGGAACTCTGGCCCAGGGCCGTAGGCAGTATGGTTCTTGGCCTAGAGACCGAACGAGCAGGAATCCCGACTTCCCAGAGTGGGCAGATCCTTCGCAGCCTGAGCCCTGCACCCTAAACTTACCGTGGGTTAGGAGGGAATGGAGGAATGGGGTACAATTATAACTACTATTACTACCATATTACTACCATATTACTATCATATTACTATCATATTACTATCATATTACTACCATATAACTACTATTACTACCATTCTTCCATTCCCTACTAACCAGCGGTAAGTAAACCCTGGTCCAGGGCTTTTGCGTCATCGCTGAAGCCTTAGACACCTCAGCCCGAATCCTCCAGAGCCTGCGGAGAGCCTAGAGCAACGGGGCCCAAACACCCTGGAGCCCAAACTACATCATGGGTGACCATAAGGGCTACTATAACTCTTACTGCAAGGGTTATTACTGTAAGGGTTATTACTGTAAGGGTTACTACTGTAAGGGTTACCGTATTAGTATGGGTTCTGCAAACTCCTAGGCCTATGTGTTCCTTTATTCGGCAGGAAGATGTAAAGGAAGCAAAGTGCTACCGGGCTCTTCTGGAGAAGCTTCGCTGCAACCGAACCAAGCCAGTACGGCGAAGGTAGCGGCCTAGGGTTTGGGAGGCGTCAGGTTCAGGAAAGAGTCTTTATTCTTGAGCGGATTTAGGAGGAACTTCTTGTCTCTTGATCGTTCTATGGTTTCTACATGTACTCTGACGCTTTCGAAGGGACGTAAGCACAAGCTCCCAAAGTGTGACCACAGGCCCTAAACCGTAAAACTCTTGAATGACTTCTTTAAGATTGAGCTAGCGCTTCGGATTCACCTCTGAGAGCCGGAAACGCCGAAAGATGTACCAGAAGGGTCAGAAGGGTCCGAACACTTGCTTGTTTACTGGTAGTATCCCTTTAGTGTCCCTACATTCCTCAAAACCCTATTCTAACTATTCAGGCCCCTACATCAGGTCTTTGCTGTCGTTGTGCTTAAGGCTTCAATGGTTTCAAGCACATCAGATTCCATGCTTGACTCGGGGTGGTAAGGTTTTGGAACGGGAGCCTTACAAGAAATGACCGAAGATGTAGCTGCATTGAGCGCCACAAATTGCTGCTGCAGGTTCGTGTTTCGCAAGCATGTCCCACACCGAAGAGAGACAGAGAGAGAGAGATAGAGAAAGAGAAAGAGATAGGCACAGAGAGATAGAGAGAGAGAGAGAGAGAGAGAGAGAGAGCGAGAGAGCGAGAGAGCGAGAGAGCGAGAGAGCGAGAGCGAGCAAGCGAGCAATATTCCCAGTGCACGAGTCCGCGCGGGGATGGGCCAATCGAGCTCATCCTTTGTCTGTGGTGAAGAAAAGAGAGAGAGCAAGAGAGAGAGAGTGAGTGAGAGAGTGAGAGAAAGAAAGAAAAGAGAGAGAGAGAGAGAGAGACAGAGCGCGAGAGAGAGGTGAGTGAGTGAGAGATGCGCAGAACAGAAACAAGAACACAAAGGCAGACCTCGGGGGGCGAATGAAACTTGTTTCATCTTGCCTGATCTGTTTCAGGATGGAAGATCTCCCCGAGCACTGTGACCGCAGATACTTACTGAATAGCTGCATTGAGCTCCATACCTGGCTGCTTGGCATCATCCTGCATCCAAGCTCAAATGTGCCGTTTTGCGGGGGGAGGTATTCCCCGAGAGGTCTTGGTTCAATGGCAATATTCCGCCTTGTGTCTGAAGCGCGCAGCGAAGATCAAATCAAGCTTGTGGTTGTGGGTGAAGAAACATAGTGGGAGGAGAAAGGAGTGGTGACTCGGTGACAACATGTGACAACTGTCTCATTCTCAGTGACGGTGGCTGTTACGAACTTAAGCACAACTTACGGGCAACCGTAACCGAAAAGAAGCACCGGCCTAAACGGTAGCAGCAGCAGCATAGCCACCGCCACCAAATCCCCCCATAAAACCCCGATATCTACGCTCTGCCTGCACCGCCTACAGTTGTTAAGGCTGCAACAATGGGGCACGGCGGCCGAGTACCTCGAGAAGCTTCATGACCACCTGGCCAAGCTTCGCATCGATCCGCAAAACACTCTCCACAGGGCTGCGGAGCTCTACGAGAAGGCAGGCGGCAGAATTTGGCGAGATTCAGGGCCCTTCTCCGGCCCTTTGTTCCTACAGATGCGCGCGATGCAGGCCAGGCTGCACAACCAGGCTGCCTGCGCGTATGAGAAGCTGGCGGGTCTCCCCTACATCCACGCAGAGCAGCGTCGTCATCTACAGAAGGCTCCTGTTGAACAATCTGTTAGGTGAAACATGTAGAGTTGTAGACTCGTGAGTGAGATCCTTTCAAGCAGGCGGTGAGGCACTGAGCACAATCAACAGGAGGACTCATTTTGGTGCTCAGCAGAGCCGACTTGTCAGGACAGTTGTGTACTGTAGGCTTCGGGTACGACGCAGTTCGGTTCTAAAGGCTCGGTATGCTCTGGCTTGGTGCTTCTACCCCCCTGGCCCGAGCATCGTCCGCAGTAAGCCCTGGATGCCTGTAGCCTTGACTCGCGAATGCTGCACCCTGAACATCAGGCGGCAGCTTTGTACTCAGAGGCGGGGGCCTTGCCGGACAAGCTGCGCATGCTGAAGCAGCTTGGGCAATACGAGGCTGGGGAATGCATTGTACACAAGTCTTTGTCGTAGTCGTCGTCGTGATAGTGGTCGTGGTCTGCGGTGGCGATGTCGGTCGCGGTGGTGGTGATAGTACTGCGCGACTGCTCGTCGTCGTCGTCTTCGCAGGAGCAGGAGGGGAGTAGTGAGAGTAGCGGGAGCGGTGGGAGCATTGGGAGGAGTAGGAGGAGTGGTAGGAGTACGAAGAGTAGGGGGGGTAATTAGGAGGAGTGCGAGGAGTAATTAACAGGAGTAGCCGTAGGAGCAGGAGTAGGACGAGGACTCGGACCAGAAGCAGGAGAACGAGCAAGAGCGGTGGCAGTAGCAGTAGCTGTAGGAGGAGGAGAAGCAGGATTATTATCATTATCATTATTGTTGTTGTTATTGTTGTTGTTGTTGTTGCTGTTATTACCGTTGCTATTGCTATTGCTTATTGATATTGATACTGTTATGGTCACTGTTATTGTTATTGTTATTGTTAATGTTCATTTCTTCTCCTTCATGTAGTAATCGTAGCAGTAGTCGGCGGCAGCAGCAGTAGTAGTCGTGGTGGTGGTGGTGGTGGTGGTGGTAGCACTGGTGGCAGTAGTAGAGGCAATAGTAGTGGCAGTTGTAGCGGCAGTCGTATTGGTAGAAGTGGTAGCAATGGTACAATAGTGGCAGTTGTAGCAATGGTAGTAGTGGCAGTAGTGGGTATACCGCTGGTGGCATTAGCAGTGATAGTATCCGCAACAATGGCAACCGCACATGTCATGTATTGAAGCCAGCAGGTCTAACGCTTGCAGTTTGTGTAGTTGTGCAGCTTGGGGCTTTCGCAAATGCGTGTTGAAGAGCTAAGTTGTTTCAGCTATAGCATGCAGAAAGCCAGAAGCTACTACACGATGATGTAAGCGGTGGGAGCATCATGCGATCATACTGCGTGCATTCCCGCCTGACAGGCATGTGGCCGCCTGGCGCGACAGCTCAAAAAGTTTCAGGCTGCCAGGGGGAAATTGAATCCCGGGTCCCATCCCTCAATCCTAAATCCTGAGCAATCCCATGACTTTACACCCCAAACCCTACGACATATATACGACAGACGAGCACTACAACCCAAACTCTCCTCCACACCCGCAACCCCGAACCTCCAAACTACAGCCAGACGAGTCTTGCGGTTCACGGTGAATCTTTTCGGGTCAGTCGTCATTTGAGAACCGAATACGAATGTGTTCCGAGCCAGCGACACGAAGAGGCCGCAACTGCACTCGTCGTTGGGGGGGGGGGGGGGGGGGGTTTGAGTTTTAGGTCTTCGAGGGGTGCTTGTAAGATCCTAGAAGTATGCGATTGCATCCCTGGAAAGGACCCTCAACTCTGCAGCCCAAGCTCCGACCCACAACTGTAGACAACCGGGCCCTCAACGCTTAGAACATGTGCCAGACTTGCACTTGCCAAACTGCACTTGGTCGCAGGAGGCAGCAGACTGCTTCGAGCTGGTTCCCGGCTGGCAAGAGGAACCAAGGATGTGAGGTCCTCTGCAACAAACTAGGATTCCTCCTAAAAGCCCATGCATGTCAGAACTTTGCTTACCAGGATTTCCTCAACAGGATGCCGTCTCTCGTTTTACCTGCAGACATAAAAGCTTTGCGTGCAGGCTAGCTTAGCAATGCATCGCAGGCAGAACATGCAGCAAGAGCTGAAGTACTGAATGCTCTCATTAAGTGGTCCATTCACCAACGGTTTGGTGCTCCGGCGAACCTGCTGTAGCTCATGGTAGGACCCAATAGACCGGATTTAGCTACATTTATGACGAGCGCTAGGCCTGTCATCTTGAAAAGGTCTCCAAGCCGTAGGTCCTGACGCCCCAAAACCGCCTTCCGTGAGCTTTGTGAGCAGCTGACAGTGGAGCTTTTTCCGTAAGCAGGGTGGAGGAGATGAGGCTTGGTGTTAACACCGGGGTACCTAAGCTATCCTGTGTCGTCTCGACCCTTCGATCAGTCTCCATGTGCAGACATCTGTTCTGGCGTCCATCACCTGTGTCCAATGTTGCCTTCTGGATTTCCACAAGCCCGCATGCCCAAGCTCAGGCAGGAACAGAAGCAGCCTTGGAGGAAGCGGTAGAGTGCATGATTTCCGCCAAGGACGCCTAAGTCTCTAGGGGTTCTGAGTTTTGGGTTTTGGCATTGGGAAGGTTTGGGCCAATGTCCTGTGATCGGCACTAGAACAATGTATAAACAAGTCGCACGGCTTTTTGCCGTTTGCCGGTGTGTGGGAGTTCGTGTCGTCATTTACGAGTTCTTCCCTCGTGTGCCACTTGTGAATGAAGCTTGAACTTCAGACGAAGTTTCTCAAATGCCAGGGTCGGAAGAGCTACCGATTCTCATGCAGGAAAGGGTATGCTATCGTGCAATGATTCTCCCTCAATATGCCCCCGTTTAAAACGTAGTTTCCGAAGAGCACAGAAGATCTTGTGCACCTCTTGTCCAGCTGGAAATGCTCGCAGAACTTTGAGCACGCCTTCGATCTGTTCATGCGCCTCGCAGAGCGGACGCGACACGAGCTTCCCGGAAGCACTTTGAGACAACCCTGAACCCTTTGCAGCAAGCCCGAGCCCTAAGCCTTAAAACCTTAAACCCTAATACCCTAGTACCATATAACCCTGATACCCTAAACCCTAAACCCTAAAACCCTAAACCCTAAACCCTAAACCCTAAACCCTAAACCCTAATAATCTAATGGAGATCTGCTGAACCGATCTGCGGTTTCGGCTTTTTGGGGACGTAAGATGTGGTGGAGCAGGGCCTTTGGGCTCGAAGTGTAGGGCTCGCCGGAGTGGTGGGCCATAGTGGGTTTAGGGTTTTAGGGTTTTAGGGTTTTAGGGTTTAGGGTTTTAGGGTTTAGGGTTTAGGGTTTAGGGTTTAGGGTTTTAGGGTTTAGGTTTTAGGGTTTAGGGTTTAGGGTTTAGGGTTTTAGGGTTTTAGGGTTTAGGGTTTTAGGGTTTAGGGTTTAGGGTTTAGGGTTTTAGGGTTTAGGTTTTAGGGTTTAGGGTTTAGGGTTTAGGGTTTGCCGTAGAATGGCGCATAAGCGGGAGTAGCTTGCGACAGTGTAATTTCGAGTGCATCGTCCTCAAGCGATTCAACGTTTGAGCCTGATTGTGGTTGGCTCTTTTTATTCACTCTCCCACCCCACGCCGTCTAAGGCGGCCAAACCACCCAAACCTATTCCTTTTAGGGTTTAGCACCTAAACTCAGTCTACGGTTTTCTTTTTCTTCAACCTCAGGCGGGGCAAAGCAGGGCAGGGCCAGGGCAAGGCCGGCGGGGTGAGGGTGAGGGGGAGTTGCAATACAGGTCAGGGGGCCAGGGGGGGCCAGGGGGGGCCAGGGGGGGCCAGGGGGGGCCAGGGGGGGCCAGGGGGGGTCAGGGGGGGCCAGGGGGGGCAAGGGGGGGCTAGGAGGGCCCAGGAAAGGCAAAAAAACAGTTTTTGTCCAGGTCTCCCCCTAGGACCGGCCTGGAGGCCCCTGGGTTGCTGCAGGCCCCACGCCCCCCCTGGGGGGTGCCTTTTTGGAGGGGGGCCCAAATGGCTTGGTCCTCCATGGTGAAGGGGTGGGGTTTAGGGTAATAGGGACCAGTACTGGTCCCGAGGAGAACCGGGCCTGACGTGGGTGCTACTGTCCCCATGGCGTCTTGGGTCGCTCTGCGCCATCGAGGTGGAGGGGCTTAAGCGCCGCCCACCCAGAGTAGGTGGGCGGCCTATGCCTTGAGTTTAGGGTTTCCCAACCAGTTACCAGGATCTAAGCGGTGTAGCAGTATCAGTTCTAGTATGGACCAGATCCAGCAGGATTTGTCGAACATTGGTCAGGCAGTTGTTCAAAGAACTTGACAGCAAATTGTCTAGAATATGCAGCGGTAACGAGTAGGACTGCCGCGCATCGCAGCTGAATGCATGAGAACTTCCTGACAAGCGAGCCTCGCTTTTGAGTCTGAGTTGCGCCTAGGCAGACCAACACGTATGTAGCCTCTTAGCTTTCATGTAATTCCCTTGCCGAATACAAACAGTTGCAGAGGCCGCGTGGCGTGGATATGGAGGTTCAGCTGCTTGAAGGACACCGGTGCGCAGTCTTTGACTGAAGTATCTCCCTACCAAAGTATACTATAGCATACCATGCTATAATGTACTAAAACTATGCTAATGGATCTAGTTTGTCTGACTCGTGAAAACACATCTGGTGCCTTCCAGGGTCGAGGTCGAGCTATCAGTTTCGACAATCCCTCTCCGTGTGCCCCACCCACCCACCCACCCACCCCACCCCACCCCACCCACCCCACCCACCCACCCCAACCACCCACCCCACCCACCCCACCCACACCCACACCCACACCCACACCCACACCAAACAACCCACACCGAACACCCACACCCACACCCACACCCACACCCACACCCACACCCACACCCACACCCACACCCACACCCACACCCACACCCACACCCACACCCACACCCACACCCACACCCACACCCACACCCACACCCACACCCACCCCCACACCCACACCCACACCCACACCCCACACCCACACCCCACACCCACACCCACACCCACACCCACACCCACACCCACACCCACACCCACACCCACACCCACACCCACACCCACACCCACACCCACACACACCCACACCCACACCCACCCACCCACACCCACACCACACCCACACCACACCCACACCACACCCACACCCCCCACCCCACCCCCAACCCCCCCACCCCGCCACCTTCTGAGGGAGTATATCGTTTGCGGTGTTTGAGGCCCCCACAAATCTCGGAATCTCCTTTACCGAACCGATTTTCTCATTGCAGGACTTGGCAGATTCGACGCGGCTGGCCGTAGGATAATGGCCAACCTTCCTCCAGCCGTGGACGATGCCTCCCGAAGCTTTGGCCAGTTTCGAATGAAGCTCCACCTTTGCCGTGAACCCGAAAACAACGAAACCCGAAGCCCTAAAGACCCAAAGCCTTACAAAGCCCCAGAGCCAAATTCTTGCATCTGAGTCTGGAGGGGATGAGACTGATTGAGGCGGCCAGTAGCGTACGTAACTTCAGTTGCGTGGATGTGCAACGACAATAGTCCTCTGTGTTGGCCTATGGTGCACATGAATTCCGAAGATATGTGGTGCTGTACGGTGCCACGGCTAGGTCACTGAGTGCTTGAGCGCTTGTAGTTTACGAGTGAGTCGCACCCAGCTGAACGCCCCTGACTGAGCTTCGGTGAGGCAGGGCTGAGATAAAATCTGACAAGTTGCCCGGTGATGGCCCGCAAGGGCAGGGGGGTATGGTGGTGAATCCGAGGTAATCCCGCTTTGCTCGTACACAATCGTACACATCTCTGCCTGAGAGGCATTCCATTTGAAGAGCTACTGGCAGACCGAAAAAAAGGTTAAAAAAAACCACCAAATGAGTCCCAGACTTGTCCACAAGCCCTGAATCAATGCACGTCTGTCAAGGAAGAGAGCGTGGCGAAAGGGCACTTCGTGGCTTTCGGCTAGCCAGGAAGGATGCTGAGAGACCTAGCTTGCACACATGCGCTGCTCGTTTGGGGCTGACTCTGGGGTTTGGGCCAAGAGCTGAAGTTCCATAGCATGTGGTCGCTACCTAGCTACAAGACTCAAGGGTCTCCGGGGATGGCTAGTCATGTCGGAGCCCGGGAATTTTGTGGAGGCGGCGTGAAAGGGGCAGTTATCATGAAGGGTTTGCCAGACTAATTTAGGGTCATTGTCGGCATCCTATATTCTGAAACTGGTATGCCTACGGGCAATAACACCCCTTCCTAGCTGTACCAGGGTTGAGGTTCTTTGCCCATGCTGCTTGCACGTCTCGTGAACAGCATCTACACTAGGATCGTTTTGGGAGAGAAATTCGAAATCTTGGTATGCTGTCCGCCCATCGTGTCCGCAAGATGGCAAGTTCTTGCATCTTGGGGTCTTCGAGTTTTGGGGTTGTAGGTTTGAGGTCTGTTTCGATTTTTTCAGTTTTTAGGTTTTGGGCTTAGGATCTGACCTAGGTTTCATCTCACAGCAACCCGAGAGACATTCACGGACATCCTGCTTGTGCTTACAAACTAGTACGTGCTCAGCACAGAATGTAAGGGGAATGCTAGCCCGTTCGCATGCCGAAGCGAACGCAAAGACGGCTGCGTGCCCAGCTGCCTTTGCTGGGTCACCGACCTTTTCGCAACCCTCGGCTTCTGTTCTGAAGATCTCTTGCAGGACCATGGCCACTGAAAACACATCTAAGAGATCCATTCTAGAAGTCAATGTCGCATCTGATTCGAACTTGTCTGGAGCGGGGAGCGGGGCTCCCTGATTGCACACGATGGTTCGAAACAGCTTAGAGGTGCTGTCCCCCAGCCAATAAACGCAAACCCAAGCTCTCAACCCCAAGCACAATCCTCAAACCCTCGCCCTGCTCTTTCATGCAAAGATCCGATGGCCTTCTTTGTAAAGCCTTGCTATGAGTTCCTTAATTGACTTGCAAAAAGTTGTCTACGAGCTCAGGAAGTCCAAAGCCTTCTTGGCAGACTTCCGCCATGAGATGCCCGACGATGAAACTGCACCGGCGCCGCAAAGTCAGCCCGAAATCCTTTTTTGGGGGAAGGAATCCCTAAACCCTAAACCCTAAGCCCTATTGTAGGGTGTGGATGGGGTTTAGGTGAACTGAAGCCAGAGACAAGCCCCCAGCCCCAAGCTCCACACCCCAGTGCCCTAGAGCCCCCTACACACCTGGAACGAGGTTGATGTTCATTTTAGGGATTAAGGATGTTTCCATGGGTTTTCAATTTGTAATTGTCGAGTTGTAGAGTCCGGGGTTCTGGGCTTTGGGGGTAGACCATGCTTTTCCTTCGCACGCGAGAAGTTAACAAACAAGGGATAGAGAGTGCTTCTGCCAGGAATTGTGCAACGACCAGTGAGCGATTTTTTTGGTATGGCAGTTGGTTTGGTGGCAGCCAGATGCTAAATGCTGCGGAGGTAATTATCTACTTTGCAGAGCTCGGCGATGATCCCACTCAGCTTTGCGATCTGCTTTGCAAGTGCGGGACAGACCAATGCCTCGACCTTTGAACCCGGCAGTCTATACATGTTGAACCCTGCGCCCCTCAAAAAGTGTAAGTCGCCGAATCCGAATATCCCGAAGAACCAACCACTAAACCGGGTTTGTGTGTTTGTCTTCTGCTTTTTGTTATGCATGCATTGGTTTCGCTCGTCAGTTTGCTTGTTTCGCTGGCTCTCAACTCTTCTTGTACGTTTTCATGAGCTGCAGGTTCTGGCGGGATTGCCTTTGTCACACTGCAGTGCAATCGACATTTGACATGATCGCTGACACCACTCCAAAGCGTCCAGCACATCTGGAACTCTGCACTGTAAGTGGGAGGGTGATATGTTCTTCTTATTCGATGTTCTTTGAGGGGTTCATCGTCTCGGAAACCAGAGCGAGGGAGAGCGAGAGAGAGAGACGGCAAAGTCATGGTTATCCCTTGATGCTTTCTTCGGGGCGGCAGCGAGGCCCAGCAACCCTACCCTGCAGGCCACACTAGTCACACGTGCACCATTTGTTGTCATTGGCAACAGTAAGGTCTTTGTCGTACAGTGTTGAAGCAAGCCACAGAGGTAGTGGCAGTTGACTAGACACTTTCGAAACGAGCCCACTTGGCCCAACACGGCAGTACAGGGGCAAACCTTGCCCGGTGGAAGCTCGCGGGGCGTGAACAAGGCACACGTAGAGCTCACTGCGCCAGCCCGTCCTGTGACACTGCACGGCTTGTAGATCAGTTGTTCGTTCCTTACAGAAGTGAAGCCTTGTGTTCAGACGCCTGTAGCCTAGCCTTTCGCACTTAATACAGTGTGTCCAGCCAACAGCAGGCAGCTTTTCGCCTTCAAGCCTGGTGAAAGAAAGAGAGAGAGGGAGAGAGATAGAGAGAAGGAGAGACAGAGCGAGTGTCCCGCAATAGTCGGGGGCGCGGACGCGCGCGGTGTAGGGGGTAACCCCTGCACCACAACCCTGGCGAAAGAAAGACAGAGCGAGCGAGAGGGGGAGGGAGACAGAGAGAGAGACGGAGAAAGCAAACAAGGAAGCCAGAAAGAAAGAAAGGAACGAAGTAAATAAAGAGAAAGAAAGGAAGAAAGAACGAGAAAGAACGAGAGAGCGAGCCAGACAAACTTGACTGCCGAAAGCTGCACGGCGTCTGAAGAAGCACGGACATGTTAGGGATTTGTATCGAGGGCTTTTTAACCACTCGAATACGAGGCTGAACCCCCAAACCCTGTAGACTAGATGTTGCATCCTGGATCCCTAGCTGGCAGGAAGAATCTCGCCGCAGTGGCTGCTGCATCGGAACTCGGAGATCCTGCTATGGCTTTGGAACTGCTTCGGGATTGCGACTTGAACAGCAGTATGCCGAGGGTTGCAGCAAGCACTACGTGAGAGAAAGGGAAACCGAGTGCAGTTTGGCCCGCAAGTCTTATCGGATACAGTGCTAGCTCTGCGCATTGCTTGGGTCTTGCATAGGATGTAGCATCTCGGGTCCAGAACATTTGTGATGGGCTCGTATTGCGTGGCATGCATGGCTGACTTCCGCCAATACCAGACATTTGCATCTGGACTGCTACATTCGCAAAGGAAGTTTAGAGTGCAATGTTAGATGCAAGCATTGCATGTGCTCTGGCTCTTGTGGCTGTTGGAAATTGAGGCCAACTCACGCCGAAGGAGAATATGGGATTGCGAAAGAAGCGCGGTATCGGGTGTGTGTGTTGTGTGCAGCTGAGTCCGGTATGCTCGCCCAGCACATATATATATATATATATATATGTATATATATATATGTATATATATATATATATTTATAAAATATGTCTACATATATATATATATATATATACACACACACATACATGTATGTGTATACATATATATATATATATACATACATGTATGTATCTATATATACATATATATATATATATGTACATACGCCTCTGCACAGTCGGCAGCATATGGCGGCATTGTGTCTTCCCTGCCGGCAGCTGCAAAGGTGTCCCTGAATCAACAGTGTCCCGTGTGTTAAGAACTTAAACTGCCCAAACCCCGAAGGATTGGACCAGTTTTACACTGGACATTCTGATGACAGCTGTGCAGCAGCAGCTGAGAACCTCGCCAGCGAGTCACAATGTGCATTACCAACCGTTAAATGCTCGAAAACTTGTCGGAGTTCCAAGTTTTGGTTCGGCGCCCTAAAGCAGGGATGTGAATAGTAGTGGAGCCACATCGCCTGAGTCTTGATTCCTCGAGCATGATCTGCAAGTGGGGTTTTCCAAATCAAAGGGCAGCTTTCTCGGATAACAAGGGCTTCTGCATATCGTCCACCACTAGCTGTGAAGTCTGCAGGCTCGTTTACATGGGGCTGTTCTGGATTGTGGCACTTCCTAGAGCCTTGGGACAATCAGCCTCAATGACACTTTGCAGAATGTCGTTGACAACTTTAGAAGAGCAGCCCCCTGCATCAACATCGGGTGTGCCCCGTGCCGAAATCGGCGCTTCTCCCAGGTGAAGAGATTGCGCCCAAGCTCAAGAAGGCTAGTGAGGAACTGCGACGTGCGTTGACGTGGATGGAAGAAGGCACCGTGCGAGTATTTGGGCTGACATACTTTGGGGACGAAACTGCGTCCTCTCTGCAGCAGTACTGCCAATGGAGCATCGAATAAGCATTGAAGTGCAGCTGATCGCAGTCGAGCGAGTTCAGTTCAACTCCGCACCTGGACCCCGGGAAAACCTTAGGTTGCCTGCAAGGGTTCGCCAGGGAAGCCAGCGAGTTTGTAGAGTCACGGGTCCTGGGCTTGGGGTCCAACAGAAAATAGAGATTCAATGCTACAAGGCCCAGGACACTACATCATCGGATGGGGTTCTCCAAGTAGGGTTTGGAATTTTAGGGTCGAGAAGAAGGAGAAGGCTGTCCTGCTTGCCAGGGCGGGAGATGCAGGAGAAGCTCCTCCGTTTGGACTTCGTTGATTCTTGGCAGCTCGTAGCAAGTTTTTTCAGCAGTTGCAGGCACGTCGGCATGCCCAACTCCAAAATCACATGGGCCGCATCTGTGACGAGGATGCAGCCCTGCGACGACTGGAAGGAGCCCCGAAACAGGCTACGCCCCTTGCGTGCCTTGGATTCTTCAAGTTCCCAGCCCCCTCATGCATCCTGACAGGAACTGAGCGGATCCACCGCGATTGTCATTCATGTGCGGTACAGCCTTTTCACCTTAAGAACGTCTGCCGCACGCCTGTTTGGCTGAGGCTCCGGTCTTCGTGGTGGCCTGGTTCCGGACAAGTCTCAACCGAGCTGGAGCTGTGCCTTCAAGAGGAGCTAGCTCTCGCGCAGTGTGCCAAGGAGCACGGGACATGGATGAGGGGGTTTGTGTTGTAGGTTTCCTAAACTAATACCCTGTGCGCATGTAACTTATGAAGATTACGCCTTCGGGATTGCTAAGCGGCACTGAAGCCCTCACTCGAGCGAGCAGCTTCAAAGCTGGCTTCAGGGTTGAAAGGGGCCGTGAGAATCAAAGGGTTTCTGAATTCTTCACAGCAGCATTCTAATTATGAGAATGCCCTTAACCCTTGACCATACAGACCGCAAGCCCAAGTCAGAAGAATTAAACTCGAAATCCTGAATCAGAAAGCTCCCGCGCCCTTCTTCGGAGGCTGAAGATGCAAAAAAAGCATTCGAGATGCTGGAAGGGTTCATCCAGCAGGCGAAAGCTGTTCGTAGGGGCGACTGGTCGGTGGTTGCAGGTTCTCAACCTGGGCCCCATACCCTGAGCCGAACCGTTTTGGGTGTAAGGATCTCGGCTGAAGGCTAGGCTTGATCAGAGTTAAGGCTAGTTAGAGTTCCCTGAGACTGGATTCTCCGCCCGGGGGTTATGAGGGAACCTAGACGGGACATTCCCTGAAATCATGTCTGCTTGAAGGTTCATCGGCAGTTAGGAGTGGGGTTGTGGACGAGACAGCTAGAGATACGTAGAGCAAAGTATTCATTAAAGTGCATAGAGCCCTGGTTGTACAGGTATCTACTCAGGATAATTGGAATCCATGAGGGAAGCCTACCGTTCATATGCTTTCTTGGGGTCCCTGGCTAGTTTTGCCTTTGTGGAGCTTCCGGGTTGTCTTTTCTTGTTTTGGGGCTTGTTGTTCTAGAGTTTAGGTTTCATCAGTTCGCGCGTTATGTTGAGATGTGTGAGGGTGTGCAATTGGGCCTGAAACGTTCCTGGCCGTGTACTGGCCGTAGCTGTGAACCGACGCATGCCATCCGGAGCAATGTAGACACATCGAAGCCCCCTGTGCGCGATCGTCAACCGGGAATAAAAGACAGGTGTCGACACAGTTTCCAAAGGCAATGTTGAACGGCCGGAGAAAAATGCTTCAGGCCTCGCTGGCATTGGAAGGACGAATGCTATCACAACTGCTGCCTGATAGTTGTTATTTTGCCGCTCCTCGTCCTCCTCCTGCTACTGCTGCAGTCGAGGGTTTGGTTCTTGATAGTTATTGTATCTGCGGGCTTGCAGACCTCCTTCCACCTGCATAGCCCTCCTACAAAGTGCACGCACTGTGCTGGAAGGTATCCAATGGAAGAATGACCGGAGAGCTTCTGAAAGGTTGCTACCAGGCACAGCTTTCACTCGAACTTGTCGCGCCTTCAGATGCATTTGTTGCAAGAGAAGTGGAGCAATCGAGGGTCGTGTTCTGCTCCCATGTGAGGCAGGAAGCAGACTGCAGCGAGTCCTTTATGAAGAGCTCAATGCCATGCGAAAGCAACGCAACGCGCGACCGGTCAAAGAAGGCAGTCTCACTCGTGTTGCTTGGCTAAATTACAAGAGCGAGGGCAACGGTGCTTCAAGTCTGGACGTCTTTTCCCGTCCATCAGAGGAGCAACCATAAGTGCTGGACTTTGGGAACTGCTTCAGCCAGCCGTTGGCCTTTCCTTCGTCGTCGGTCTGTCGACTAAGTTGCTGAAGAGGTGTGCTCTTCGGCTTCGAAACGATATCTTTTTCATGCGGTTTCGTCAACAAAAGTGTCCCCAAGAAATTGGGCTCAATGCAGTTCCTATTCTCGCTATGGGGCGACTGCTGCTGGTCGTTCATACCTGGATTCCACCAATGCTCGTCAAGTCTTCCCGGTGGCCTCAGGATCATCACAAGCTTGGCTTGTGCATTGATTGCTTCTCGTTGCTTGAATGCACTCTTCTATTTCAGGTCCTCGCAAAGGGCCATCGTCTCTCTCTGCATGCTCAAGCCGCTGTGGAGGCGGGATGGCCTGCTGGAGCTTGTGGACATATTGAGTTCCAGCACAAACACAGTAGAGTCCAAGGCATTGCGCTCATGCTCTTCAACATCTGTCCTTCCTCCCACCACCGCGAGCCACTAGATCGAGCTACGAAAGACGCATCTGCGCAGCAATTGAAGCTGGCTCTCCTCCAACAGTTCTTCGAAAGCCGTCGAGAAACCGGGCACTTCTGAACCTGTCTTAAGGTTCTGGTAGAATCCCGCAAGAGACTTTTCAGATGGCGGGAGGCGCTTCCCGGCTTCTCCTTTGCCTCATACCTTGTTGACGAGAAGACTGCCATTCTGCACGACTTGGAGGCCAGAAAGCTGACAGTATCTGATAGTCTCCATGGACCCGTGTTTCGAAGATGTTCAGGGTATGTACATCCGGAACATTTTGGAGAGTGCATCTTCTTCCGGCAATCTTGTTGTATGACGGGGCACGCGCGAAGCCTTCTTCAACTTGGGCAAGTTAGTTCCCAGCTGGGACTGCTAGGAGCGCCAACGGGCCGTGCTGAACAGCTTTCAGCTGCTTTGCAGCTTGGCCTTAGTGACGGTTGCTGCCACATTGCTCTGCACGGATGATTTGCACATGTGCAGCTAGGTGCATGGTCTTACCAGCTAACCCGAAGGCTCACGCACTGAAGAACCTCTTAGTTCCCCCCTGCTGTGCAGCTGCAAGCAGTTTCCCCCAGCTAATCCAAGGAATCATTGCATCAACCAGGTCACAGTAATTGCAGCGGTATATAGTGTTGCTTGATGTCACATTTTTATATTCACTGCGTCTGTGCATGCCAGGTGCACGCGACAAGAAAATTGCTCGGGTGGCTCCGTCCTTGTGGCTTCGTGCCTGGAAGCCAGAGGCTCTTGCTGAAGATGCAGTCACTGTGTACGAGGATGTCTACATCTGTATCTGTATCGGTATCTACATCTGCATCTATATCTGTATACATATCTAGATCTATATCTACATCAATTTCTATATTTTTATACCTATACCCACAGCTGTATCTACATCAATGTCTATGTATGTTGTACCAGTGTCAATGTCTATATCTTATTTGTATGTACATACATATCCTTATCTATATCTTCATTTAGATCTACATCGACATCGGTATCCATACCTATATCTATATATGTTGTATCTATTTGTTTGTCCATATCTATATCTATGTCGATGTCTGTATGCATCTGTATGTGTATCCATATCCCTGTCCATATTTGTATCTATATCTATGCCTATATGTCTATCGCTATCCTCTTTCCCTGTCTAAGTTTATATCTACACCTATATCGATATCTGAGTCTATGTCTTTATCTATATCTATGTCTATATCAACACCCGTATCTGCACACATACATCATCCATATAGCATCTTTTGCGGCTTCTGCAACTGCTGCTGCTACTGTCACGGCAACAACAAACACAGCAACAACAGCAACAACATCTCGGGCTGCTGCTACTGCTACTCTGGCGACTGCTGCTGCTGCTGCTACTACTACTACTACTACTAGTAGCAGTAGTAGTAGTAGCAGTCGTAGTGGCAGCAGTAGTAGCAGCAGACCCTCCGAAGACATGGTTCCTGCAGCCGGTACTGTCAGGAGGGGCGCTCCTCCACGAGCTCCAAGTCAGATGATTTCAAGGAGTCGCTGTCGCTGCATGTTTAGGGTTGACCGTTGCCGTCAGAGATTGAACGAACCCCGTAACAAAGACAACTTGGATCCCATCTTATGAGATTCGTCACATCTTGCGAACAGGATGGGTTCATGCGGAGCCTTCAGCTCTGTGCAGCAACGGCGTCACATCTGGACAAAAAGGTGCCGGGCACTGAGTGTCTAACTGCGCAATCTGAAAATCCAGGTGTAACGGTTTTCTGAGAGCATCTCCGCAGGCACAGTACAGGGAACGTGCACCGATCTTGGCCCTGTTGGTTTGGGCCAGTACCCAGGCCTTCAACTCGTTAATTACAACGGCTGGCATATACCCTGAACCTGGAACTCTTTTCGAGAACCAAACTGGGGGTTTTGGAGACGGACATCTTCATTTTTCCGTCGGCAGCAACCTTTCCTGCTATGTGGCTGGATTTTTGTGTGGGAGCCGTCTAGCGAGGCAAGCGGTAAGCAACTGCTCGCCGAGCCTCTCTTCTGCTCGACCATGAGTCCCACGTTGTTCCGAGTCGAGGTAGTCCCTATTCGTAGTTGTTTGTGGGCCCTGTTGCGGGCCGTGCGCGCTCTGACTTGCTGGACAAACGGGATCCTGCCCAGGATCAGCGAAATTCCTGAAGCGGCGAAGGAGATGTGGCTGCGAGCGCGTGCAGAGGTGGAGGAGAAGCTCAGGAGACTGTTTGTATAATCGTTCGAGTTGGTCCTTCAGCCGAAGCCCAGCCTGAAGCATCTGCGGCCAGGACCAGACGTAAAAAAGCAGGTGAGTTTGACAGCTTGGTGCGCTCGTTAGCAAAGACCGTGGGGGTTCTCGTGCCCCAGCTGATGCATGGTCAGGTTCCGGATCTAAGCGTTCGTGCGAAGGTTTACGATAGAGGCGGGTGATGCAGAATCCGTGAAAACCAGCTGCTTCTTTTGTGAACTGATGCTGCTTGCACTGCTTTCGGTAAGAGGCTTGGGCAAGGGGCTCGTTCAAGATTTTGATCATCTAGTCTCTTCAATATAGCCCGATATTGCCAACACGTGTGGTCAAAGGCTTCAGGGGGATCTTACAACACAATGACCCCAAGTTAAGGGTTTGGGGCACTAGGCTCGAGGCCACCCGCCTGACGAATTTCTGTCTTGGCCATGCAATGCTGAAGGAGCTTCATAAAGAAAGCGATGCTTCAACTTGCTCCGAGAGTATAGTTTCTTGTGCTTTGTCCATGTCCGCGTATTTCTCAAGCTGAGTGCACCGTAGATGTCTTGCCTGGACAACGTGGCGTCAGAAACGAATATTTGCGAAGGCTAAAGTTGGCTAAAGCCGTATGATCGTTTCTTTAATCCCTTTGGGCTGTACCTTCATTGCTCATCGACCCCAGGTGTGCCTCTTCCGCCACTATGTCTGGGGAGAAGGAGAACGCTCTACCGTGAAAGTGGACAAGATCGCAGCCGACAAAGTGGCGGAGTTGGTTCTCGATGGGCTGGACTATCTGATGCCAATCTGTCCACACCATGTTTACTCAGGGAGCTGTGAAGGCAAGCGCAAAGGGACATGTGCCTTGCTTATTCCAGAAAGAAAGCTGGTGCTGTATTCACGTCCCAGTAGCTGTCATCCAGGGGCAACTCAGGCACCTTGGAGCATCCGGTTGTCGAGAAGACAGGGAGCCCAGAAATGCTGCTGGCCTGTTCGGAGAAACGCCGCCTGGATGCACGCAGCAGCCGTTCAGGAATCCCGCCCCGGTCACTGCTCTCACAGGCAAGGACTGGAGCCTCCAGGGCATCGGTGTTTCCTGCTGGCTCGACATTGTGAACGTGTGCTCAACAAGTGTTGCCCGTCTGCAAGAGTACAAACAGCACAGTGCTCCAACTCGTGCTTGATCTATGCTGAGATCAAGACGGTGTGCAAGAGAAAAGAATGCAAATGGTTACATCCCAACACCGAGCAGATCGAAGCCATACGCGCGAAGTTCAGGCAGGCACTGCCTCATCGCTGTCCGAAGGGTGAACGTGTCCCAGGGATTTGAGTGGGGTTCTCCACGTGCACGTCCTCCGTGTCCTCTCCGGAGTGTAGCGCAGGTATCTCGGCAGCTTCTACCACCAGACCGTCAACTGGAAAAATGATGCGGATTTGGCCAAGGCCGACATTTAGCTCCATAGATTTCCAGACAGGTATTCGGAGCACGAGAACACCCTTCTTCTCGGTTGCCGCACGTCCTACACTCACGTTTCATTTGCGCCATGCACCCGGAAACAGCTTCGAAGATCCCAGCAGGCTGTGCAAGGACTTCTGGAGAGCACACATCGAGGCGAAGACCGGAAGCTACCCAAAGGCTTCGGCTGCTGCTTCTTCGAGGAGCGATTGTGCTATCTGCGCCCACTCATTGGCCAAAGAAGCCATTTATATAAGTGTTTCAAACTTCTCTCCTCCATGCACTTCAGCTCCGATGCCAGTTTTAGATGGGTTGTGTGGGGGAACGCTAGGACGCGGCTTGAAATTGCACCGTGGAACCGTCTCTTCCGTGCCACCGTGCTCTGCCCTGCCTGCCCTGCCTGCCCCCTGCCTGCGCCCTGCCCTGCCGCGCGTGTTGGGCCCTCCGGAACCGGGCCTGGGCCAAGACAAAATCCAGCCGCTGCTGATCCGGTGGCGTTCGGGATGCTTGAGCATGCCACACGGCGGGGATTAGAGGGTACTGCCACCGAAAAAAAGAAGAAATGGCGAGAAAGGAATGTACATGACTCCCGTCTGTTCTGCCGCTTTGTATCACTGAAGAGGATGGCAACCGGATGCTGAATGCCACTTTGCGGCAAGTCGGTGAAAGCAACCGTCATCTGGTTCCAGACTATCCCGCACAAATTTCGCAACGGGGACAGTCTTGACCCAGCTCATCCCTTAAGATTCTGCAGCCGGGCCATCTAGACTAGTTGTCGATGTGAAACAGAGGTTCGGCTGGTGACCATCGTTGCTCGGGCCTTTCTCAGCAAAAGCGTCTTGGCAAGCAAGGAAGCACAGCCCTTACCCTGAACACCTCGTTTTTGCTTTGGAAACGCCTCATACTGGCAACCAGCTGAACCGTAGTCAAAGGTGTAGGTATCCGAGTACAAGGCCGCGGACACTTGAGAACTCCAGGTATCAAGGGGGCGTCCTTTCTCGCTAAGTTTGCCTTTCCTTTTTTGTCTTTCGCCATAAGTGCTTCGTGTGCTTTATGTTTCAGATGTTCATTCAACCTATTAGTTTTTTTTGTAGTTTTCTGTAGTTTCATGCTGTCTGCTCTTTTACTGGGTACTGCTTTTGCATTCTGCTGCTTTCACTGTTTTGCTTCTCACAATGTTTCCGCTTTTGCCTTGTGCGGCATTTTTTCTGTTGCTTTAGCTTTTCTGCTACCATCTTTTGTATTCTACTGCTTTTGCTGTTGCTTTTTGTCCTTAGCTTATCTGGTTTCTGCCTGAAGCTGAGTTCGCTAAACGTTTTTGTCTGCTTTGCTGCTTCCGCAGTTTGCTTTCTTTGCTCACTGATGCTGCTACTCGTCTTTCTTGCTTTCCGTTTTCCTGCCGCATTTGCAAGTCGGGCGGCGGCCCCCGCCCGTCCCCCCCGTGTCCCCTTCACTCAGCCGGTTGTCTTTTGCTTAGCAAAGCTGCTGCGAAGAAGTTCATGGCACCAGTCGAAAAAAGTTGCTGCAATGCCCAGATGAATCTTTACTATCTTTACCTTCGTTTCCGAGGCGGTCATTCCAGCAATGTTTTTGCAGCGGGACGGCTGCCCCCCTTCCACTGCGCCCCCCTCCCGGCTTCCTTTAGCACTGCAAAGCTTGCTATGAACTCCCTCAGCCGGACTGTTTTTGGAGATATGATCACCCCCACCAACTTCCCTGGACCGCAAGGATGCTATGACGAAACTCATGCTGTCGAAGGGCATGTTTGAGAGATGAGATGTGAGCAATCGCCCTTGCCTCATAAGGGTGCCGGTTGGTTCAAGGACTGTGATCAACCACCATCGCCAAATGAGGAAACGATCGGGAATGATAAATTACAACGTCTGCCGGGATTAGAAGACTACACGGACGACCCCGAGAAACCTCATGCTGTGGCACTGCTCGGCTCTGGGGAAATTTTGCGCCTTCTAATTCCTACATAACTCATTCCCTCAAGAGTTTTGAGGGCGCCACCTTGAAAATCGTCTTTGCCCCCATAGTGGCGGGATTTGGACCAGACGGATGAGCCGGAGGAGCTTCACAGTCTATGCCTGCCAGGACTTTTGGCATTTCGAGCGTTTCGGCGACAAAAGCGATTCAAAAATGGTAGCCATTTCCTTGAAGTCGGCCTTTGCGGTGAACACGGCCAGCCTGAGACTGTGGAAAGAAAGTGGTTTTCACTTCGATTGCGCACTGCGCCACAGCAGCTCAGCCGGAGCTGCTGGTCAACGCAGTACGACCCTAAAACAATCTCAATTAATTGTCTGACCATTAATCCTAGAGCAATGCCAATCTCCAGTGTGTCGCTGAAGGTTACCTCGATCTCGGTCTTGAGGCTTCCACTGACGAACCTGAGCTGCAAGCTACCGGCCAGAGAGGAGGGGGTCCTCGCCAGTGAGAAGACCAAAGAAGAACAAGATGAGGAAGAGACAGAGTGCAAGGGATGGAGTATAAGTTGTAGGTTTTGGGGGTTTAGGGTTTGCGACTTAATTAGGACGAGTTTACCATGATCAGAAGGCAGAAGGCACTTTATGCGAGCAGCCCTACATGTGCTCTCCGGAAAGGAAGGATGTTTCGACCCCCTCCAACGAACTCCTTAGCCTGCCATGATCTTGGGTATGAGGGTGGTGATACCCATCGATGGTACTCGTAGGAAAAGTTTTAATAGAACTGGGCAGTATAGTCGTGTGTGTGTGTGCCATTCCGCAGCGATCGGTGATGAAGAATCATCATGGCATGGGTCCCCAATTAGGGCCTCGCGGCGCTGCCGAGGTCTTGAAGCGCATGTGCCGAGCGCTCTATCGCTACCCAGATCCAGACGCTTGCGACCTAGCCAGAAAGATTTTGGATGAGATTCGAGATTCAAGCGCCTTGGTTTCAATTCTGTACCTTCTGTGCAAGGGGTTGTCAAATGCAGGTGCACATGTGCCATGTGCAACCAAGGTAAACTCCGAAGCATTTCCAACGACATCACCTGGGAAGTTGAAGGCGAACTTCCAGGGCTCCTTGCAGACCCCACATCCCCGGCCGACAAGACTCGATGAATTGATGCCTCTTTGCCCAGGGTGCCGGAGCAGAGACAACAGCCGCTGTTTACTATCCGCAATGCTGGGAAGCTTTGCTGCAACCTGCCCTTTGTTCGTGTTGCTTTATCAAGACTCATATATTTAGTTCCCTTCACAATTCAGATTCCTCACATTTGCCCTGTGTCAGCCGGCTCCTCTGGAGACAATGGCCACGTCATCGATCTAACTAGAGTGATCCGTTTACATTGTTCGGCCACGCTTCAAGGTCGGCTCGAGCTTTGAACTGCCGTGACCTCCCTCATCCACGATCTCCCTCATCTAAGGCCGTGGAAAGACGACTCCACATCAGCAAGAATCGAACACGAGGAAACATCCTGCTGGCTTCACTTTCAACCCGCACGCTGCAGAGCTTCTTGGAGCAGCAATTTAGTCATCCCCGCAGTCGGTATTTAGACTTTTCTCTCGCGGCCCGTCTTGAAGGTTCGTGCCTGGGCAAGAAGTGAGATTTCTGAAGCGCGACGCCCCCGCTGCAAATATCTGGGTGGGCAAGAACGCGGCGAAAGACCTCTTCGGCAGTCAGACAAGGCCACCTCGACTCCCGAGAACCTTTAGCGCGGCCGTCCACTCCTGCACAGAATCACCAGCTGTGTTCCGCAGGTTGCTCTCCGGATTGCCAGAATTCAAATTTCTGGATCCCACTAGTACCCCAAGTCAAGGAATATGTGGCGGAAGGAAACCTGAAGTCCTGCTTCTGCAGGCTTAGGCTAGTGAATTGTTTTCTTCATGCTTTGGCCTTTAGAAAGCTTACTTTAGGGTTCAGCAGTGCAGAAGCTAAGCCCCAAGCGCTAGCCTTTTACACCGAACCTTCTTCCCACCTTCGAGGATCTTCCGAACGCCCGCACAGCAGCAAGACAGCATGCCAGCGACCGGATCAGACCATCCTAGCTGCGCTATCCGCAATATTGCCATCGAGAAAGATATTGCGCAACTCGTCAGACTTCCCGCTCCTACGCATTGTAGCGAAGACCATGCTTCACTGTCTTGCATGTTGCGGTGGCTAGTCGTGCTTGCTGTCATTCCTCACACTCAGCTCGTGCAGCACATCAGTAGCTATACATTATGCTGTATTATGTCATATCATATCGTATGATAATATTGTAACATCATAGTATAGTATATTTGTCATATTATATATGAAAGTATACAATATTTTATGTTTTATGTAATATACCCGAAACTCTAAGCCGCAGCCTTGCAGTGCGGCACAACACGAGCAGCTGGCGGCCGAAGCGGTGCGCGTTGTCTCTAGACCAACACCAGGACCAGCAGGACTGGGCGCCCCGGGGCTTGAAGAGGGATGATGATGATGATGATCGGGAAGGTTATGATGATGACAATGAGGACCATGGTTCTGATTTCCATTGGCATTGTGCGTGCTTGTTGAGGCCAAGGTTGAACGATTCAATATAGCACATCTGCACATGGCCGTACACCCTCAAGCCTTTGTTGCCCAATGCAGCCGGAAAAACCAGTGGTACTATTCGTTACGGCTCCTCGTACGTGCATTAAAACATTCACGCAAAATGCCCTACTTAACGAATGTTATGCATGACGAAAGCATGCCGCGAAGGACCCATCGGAAGTGGCGGAGCTCAAGTTTGGGTGCCAAAGGTTCGACCAGCCGGGTCTGGAGCCAGCTGAAGAGAGATGGGAGTTTCAGAAAACGAAGGTACGTTATGGAGGGATCCTGATTACGAGGATCCTACTTCTGCAATTCCCAGAGAAGTTGACAGGCTTCTGATCTGTTGAAATCTCGACATTTTGGGGTTTACTAGGAACGAGTGAAAGCCAGCAGGAAAAGCAAAACAGCATGATCGGGTCTAGCAGAATGATAGGCAGGGCGAAAGTAAAACAACTTGGCAGGAGCAACGGCAATGGTGATGGCAGTAGCGGTAGCAGTGTCAGTAGTAGTGGTCGTGGTGATGGTAGTGGTTGCGGTCGTTGTTGTGGTCGGGGGTCGTGGCCGTGGCCGTCGTCGTCGTCGTCGTAGTGTTTGTAGTAGTAGTACTGGAGGCAGTAGCAGTAGCCGTAGTGAGATAGCAATAGCAGTAGCAGTAGCAGCAGTAGTAGTAGTAGTAGTCGTAGTAGTAGTACTAGTAGTACTAGCAGTGCTTGTAGTAGTAGTAGTAGCAGTAGTAGTAGTAGTAGTAGTAGCAGCAGTAGCAGTAGCAGTAGCAGTAGTGGTAGTAGTAGTAGTAGTAGTAGTAGTACTCGTCGTCGTCGTAGTAGTTTTAGTAGACGAAGTAGACGAAGCAGACGAAGTAGCAGTAGCAGCAGCAGCAGCAGCAGTACGGGGAAGGAGTAGGGCAGGAGTAGGAGTTGGTTTGGGAGCAGGAGCAGGCAGGAGTAGGAGCAGGGGCAGCAGCAGCAGGAGTAGTAGTAGCCGTAGCAGCAGCTGCAGCGGTAGCGGCAGCGGTGGCTGTAGCAGTAGTAGCAGCAGTTGGAGCAGGAGGAGCACGAGGAGGAGGAGGAGCAGAAGAAGTAGTAGTAGTAGTAGTAGCTGTAGTAGTAGTAGTAGTAGTCGTAGTGGTAGTGGTAGTGGTAGTGGTAGTGGTAGTAGTAGTAGTAGTAGTAGTAGTAGTAGTAGTAGTAGTAGTAGTAGTAGTAGTAGCAGTATCAGTGGTAGCGGGAGCAGCAGCACTAGTAGCTTTTGCTACTTTGCTCTTTGAGGAGGAGCAGGAGGGGAGCAGTTGGATCAGGGGGAGCACGATGAGGCGGAGGCGCGACAGCGACCCAGCGACAAGGACAACGACGAGGACGAGGAACGACGACAAGGATCGACGATGACGCTGACGACTAAAACGACCACGACGACGCTTCGACGATGACTACGATGCCGACGCCTGAAACGAGTCACAGTCGTAACACCTGCGATGATAACGTATGTTGCAGGAACAAGCTTCCTCGTCACATGGTGAGAAGCTACGATCACGCGTGATGTGTACCTCATGCAGTTTGAGACTCAGCTCATAGTCGTATACAAATAAGTTGAATGCCCAGGTGCAATCTTTGACTCAAGTATTTATGGGTTCTAGATTTGGGAGTCTTGAGGGTCTGAGAGCTAGCCTCAAGGAGTAAGCAGTGCAGACATCCGGTTTTTCATGCAGACCAGCAGCCTGCTCGGTTTCAAGGAACAAGAACGGTGAAGTAGGGTGCACGTTCGTTCACCGGTCAGTCCAGAGTCTTCTAGGGTTTAGCTTACATGTTCTTTGTATCGATGTACGGATCTCTGCTCGAAGATACCGGAAACGTGCATCCGACCGTAGGCCGTACAGGCGTTTCCTGCACCTTGAGTTACAAACCACCTTTCGAAAACGATGCATGATCATTCCCAACTCCTGCCAGGGTTGAGTATGTTCGACAACTGCGACAAACTTGTTGAGTTTGAGCTTGATCCGGGTTGGAAACATGAGCGATTAGGACACTGGTCTTACTGTTAGAACGCAAAGGTTGGGTGAGGCCAGCTAGACCCTGCCGGTTGAGGGAGGCGGCAGCAGAGAGGCGCAGGAATTTGAAGCAAGCTCATGCAAAAGACACATGAGTCTAAACCGAACACCCATTTAGATTTCCCATTTTTAAATCGCGCTTCCCCCGCATATCTCCAGCTTCCTAGCATCTCCATGAGCCCATTTTGGTTTCTGCAATGGTCGCTTTGTTGAGAAGCTGAGAGCTTGCGGCAGGGACTGTGACAGCCATCTCCCTTGACTCTTAGGGTTCAGGGTTTAGGGTCCCCTATGGTGGCTAGATGGTCTTAAAGGGTTTGAACAGTGGTTTCCGGACATGGCTGCCATGGAGTGCAGCTGCACTTACCCTAATTCGCTGATGTAGGACATCTTAGTACGCCTGGCACTTGTGCGGCAGATTTCCAGCAGGTGCGACCCGGCTGAGTAATTAGCAAGGGGTTTCGGGGGCATATTACAGTGTACCCAGATGACGGAGCCCCCACAGAACGCATGTCAATTATACCGGCCTTTTTTTGAGAAATACCTGGTTACCCAGCAGTTTCTCAACTGCGACCTGCCGCCTGGATCGAGCGACAGCCTTCAGTGGGTCACTCTTCCTCACCATGTGCCACTGAAGGTCTCTGCTTCGATTGAGAGACTTGGTTTGCTAGGCTGTGGGCGGAGCAAACCAGATTTAAGTGCCCGACCGTTGCTATTCACGCATGTTCCTCGTGGCTTACATCATAAGGACCCTTAGGGGGGTACGGGGAGAGGGGTAGGGGGCCTTGATACTTATAATAAGGACTTTATAGTCCCCTGCCCTATGATCACAGCCAAGCGCAATGTCGAATAACCGAAGCAATTGCGGGCACACCCTTTGAAGAAACTGGTGGAATCAGATCAAAGCCTTAGATCTCTGATTGCCATCGGGAAAAGTCCGTGCAATTTCATGTGCCTTTCGGAGCGTCATCTCAAGGACCAGAACCAATGAACCACCTGGAGGTTAATCTGAGTTCGGGTTTCATCGAAGGTGTCTATTGTAGTATTGTGTTTGGGCAAGCAAGCCAGAGTGAGCCAAGTCCATGCTTGGAGCTCTAGCCGGGAAGACAGTGCCATGTCTGATGGCTCAAAGCGCTGAGCCTGTAAGCAATCCCAACAACAGTGTTATTGTGATGCTTGAACCCTGAACCTCCAGTCCGGGATGTAGAAACAGCGTAGGTTTTTGCGGCATGAGAACAGTAAGTCATCCTCGCACAACCAGACCCACATCACATGAGCCGTGTGCTAGGATGTGTCCGTAGTTTCGTAGATAATGCTTCTTGTGCACTCTGTTCCGCATGGCCGGGGTCTTGGGTGGAGTATGCGCTTCAACTCGGCCTGTGTTTCTGCATTTGAGACATTGGTCCCATTGCGAAATTCCAGATCCAATACTCCAAAGCCAATGCCCAAAGCTCCCCAGGTTCGCATTGACTACTCTGACACGCACGCGTTTACCCACAGAATCGAGCAGGAAAAGGCTGCCAAGGCATCGGGAAACACCAGTTCAGGCAACTGTTGCATCAGTTGAAGCACCGTCCTTGCCTTCATCGCCGTTGCTATCATTGCCACCGGGATTACCATTGCCATCACTTGAACGGCAACACCACCACCATCACTACCGCAAGCAGCACCGGAAGCAGCTCACAACGGCCGCCAACGCTTCCACACTGGCCTTTGCTGCTGGTACCACCATGATGTCTATCGTCATCATCGTCATCATCATCATCATCAAACCAACACCAGAAGCATCATCGTCATTTTCACCATCTCAACCCTCATCATCGTCATCATCATCGTCGTCATCATCAACACAATCGGCACCATGATTTTTGTCATAGCTATTATGGTCATAGTAATGCTCACATCAGCAGATGAAACAGCCGAAGCTGAGGGCCGTATCAGATAGGCAACAGTAACAAGAATAGAAGGACACGACTCATGATCAGATCACAAAGGCCAGTAGTCATATTAATAAGAGCCTTGGCAAGAATCCATAGTATGGCCCAAAATCGCACCAGAAAGCCAAATCGCCAAATCTCTAAGACTTCAACCCTTAGCCCTCCCCCCTCCTCCCCTTGTGCGTTTGCAGACCGGGTTCAATCCCTTACACCTGAAGTCTTAAACCCGCAAGCTCTGTGGTACCGGTATGGTATATAACCTTAAACCCTAAACCTTAAGTAGTAACCCTGAGAGTAACCCTTATAGTAATCCTCATAGTAACTCTCAAACTGACAGGCCTTATTTGCCAGCCGAAGAGGCGAGATGGTCGCGCTCACGGCCTTGTCCTCAGCAGCCTAAGGTGTTTGTTTTTGAGGGTTGCTGTGAGGTTCTTTTCAAGGGGGGTTCTGTCATAGGGACCCTTAGCGGGGTAGTGGGGAGGGGGTAGGGGACTATAATTACTTCCTTAAATAGGCCTGATTAGGTTTCTATTATGCCCATTAAGGCCCCCTTACCGCCCCTCCCCTACCCCCTAATTCTGGACGAGGGATTTAGGGTTGAAGGTTTAAGGTTTGAGGGTTTGAGGCTCCGCGCTTCGGTTTGGGTTTCTTCTGTTCCGGGTTTCTGGACTTAGCTGAGGGTTTTGGGTTCGGGTTGAGGGTTGTGCTAGGTACTTTTGCGATGCTAGCAGACATGAGACGCGATCCCTTGGTTGGAAGGGGTACCGTGTAAGTTTCGAGTTTCAGGCCTTTCTCATTTGGTGATCCGTAGAGTGATTTGGAGTGGTGTCGATTCGTAGGATGATGGGAGACAGCTTCAGGGCTTCTAGCCGCGGATCTATGTTTCATAAGAGAAGCCTTACCATCATTTCCGAAGTTCATGCCACGGGGCTTCTCGGTTATGTGCTCTGTGTTTTGGCGTGCAGTGTCCCTCCGCACTCGTTGGGGAAACAGCTTGGGGGGGCGTAGATGCAGATGCCTCATATTGTACTCAGCTTGTTTGCAGTCCCTGCAAGCAGCCCTATGCTACTGTCACGGTTCAGTCACCGGAAGCGGCGCCATCAACGTAGTCATTACTTGAGTAGGCTAGACACTGAGCAGTGCACCCCGAACTTCAGGCACAGAAATTATGCGTCCGACCATTGACAGGATCAGCCGCAGCGGTGGCTGCGGCAGACGATGCGGCAGTTGCCGGTTCAAGCCGAGGCGTGAATAGAAGCTTTTGACAGTTTGTAAGCAATGCCCGGTAGTAGTAGTTGTTGCTGTTGTGATTGTTCCTGTTGCTGTTCGAACTAATTCCGTAGGACCCCAAAGTCCTAAGTCCGTAATCCCAATACAACAAGGTGTGAGATCCTAACCCACTCTTGCTATCTGAAGCCCTAGAGGTCCTACAGCAGCGAGGCTTGCAGGCCTGAGCAGAATAAACGTCCGAAGATCCTGAAGCCTAGCGGTTTAGGGTTTAGGGTTTAGGGCTAGACACAGACGTTAAACCATTAAAACCCTCAATCTAAGAAGAACCTTTATGCACGAAAACACCACGAGCCTTACAGAAAACGTATGGTGACAAGTAGTCGTTATAGCAACATGCATAGTGACCCTTACAGCAACCCTTTGGGAACCTTGATGCTAAGCCTCGTAGCCCTTCTTGAGCCCTGAAAGGAACCTCAAAGGAATCCCATGGAAGAGCCCGAAAACAAGCCCTGGTAATCCTTGCAGAATCCTTAAAGGAGCCCACATGGGTAGTTCTCTAAATTCTGGTCCCTGTGTAAGTCTACAAAATAGTACGGCACCTTTATAAAAGGACCCTACAACCTAAACCCTTAAACCCCAAACCCCAACCTAAGCCTTAAACTCTAAACCCCAAACCCTAAACCCTGACCCCTTATAGTACCCTTATATATATATATATCCTTGATAGTAGTCCTAGGAACCCCTCAAACCCTAACCCATCTACATCTAAAACTCACCACCAGGCCTCGCCTACAGAGCCGGCGGAGTCGACGGCTCCTCCCTCGGAGCTCATGGGTCCGGAAGGCAGGTCTTTGTTCTTTAAGGTTTAGGAAGTGTCGCACTTTTTTTGGATTTCTATTCTTTCAGGTTTAGGAAGTGTCGCATTTTTTTTGGATTTCTGTTCTTTAAGTTTTAGGAAGTGTCGTATTTCTTTTGGATTTCTGTGGGGGAGTTGGATGGCAAGGATTCCGAAAGCATGATGATCCTGCAAGGTTTTAACCTAAACACTAAACCCTAAATCCCAAACGTGGGTTCTGCCATTGAAGATCTGAGCAGGTGGAAGAAGGCTGCTCAACCCTGAGCCTTGAATCACCCAAAAAAATCTTGTGACTCGTGGTCCTAAACAGGACTTATCGAGCTCTTGTTAAGGCAATTATTTTAAGTTACCATAGTAAAGAAGCCACATTATATACTATAGATCCCCAGTATGGTAGCTTAAATAAAATTCCTTGACGAGAATCCATGGTTCGGCTCCTATATCTCTTGGCCCTGCACAATGCCGGATAGCTGATCAGGAGTTTCAGAAACAGGAAGGGGCCAGATGAAACATGACAAGGACCTCCAACAGAAGGGACCCTGAAGAGTAGGATCCTTGTTACAAGAGCCCCTGGCAGAGGGGATTCATCTTTTCAAGAGGGAGTCAGGGCTTGCCACCTAGATTTCGAGGCTAGGCATCCCAGGTCCAAAAAGGTTCGGGTGCAAAGTTCAGGGCCTAGGGTTTAGTATGGGTTTACGGGTCAGAAGTTAGGGTTCAGAGTTTAGGGTTAGCAGTGGTTTAGGGTTCATCGACTTTCGAGCCTGCTGTCGCAGCGGCCTGCACCGAAAATAGGGAGCGCGCTTGGGCCTCCTTGGCCCTGATTTCAACCCCGAAGCCCTAAACTTAAACCCTTTATCTTTTAAGGGTCGGCTACTGCCTTCCACAACGTGGATTCTAAGCGAGCTGTACACTGGAGGAAAAAGGACTAAAAACAGCAAAACCCTATATCTTAAACTCTCTAGCAGGCTCTAGCAGCCTGATGGTAACTCTCATTTACGCCCTTAGACCCTAGACCATACATCCGACGAAGAACAACCTCCCGATCCTTCCCCTCCAGCATGGCGTTCCAACTAAGCAACCGGCTTGGCGGAAAAGAGGGTTCAAAAAAAAGCCGACGAAGAAGCTAATTTCCTGCCAGGACTTCTGCAGGCGTGGCTTTCTCTGTCGCCAGAGCAGCGAGAGGCCAAGGGTTCAAGGTTTAGGGTTTAGCCAGCAGGGATGTTAGGAGAGGAGAGCCAGTCGGCTCTGGAACCTTAGTGCCTTAGGGTCCTCTATGTGCTGATTCCGGAGCAAGGTTCTGAGGTGAGGTTTTGGGCGGTGGTGCCCCCGGAAGACTGATTCAAGGTTTCTTCTGTTAAGTGGTGCAAGCATCAGTAGAAGGCACAGCCCCGGCAGCGGCGGCATTCGTCGTCGTCGCCGTAGCCATCTAGCAGCAGCAGCGAGAGCAGTCTTGACAACAGTCGTCATTTGTCTATCGCCAATGCTATTGCTCTGAACATGTCTGGCTTGCTTCGAACTGAAAGAGGTCGCAAATTGATGGGAGGCGGACAAACTGGCTAAATATTCGAGCTGTTTAAGCCAACCGTTTAGCAAACCAGCCAGCTAACCGAGCAAGCCAACCAATAAGCTAGCGAACCCGCAACCGACTGAGCGACAATGTAGCCAGACAGCGATTCGGTAGATGGACTAAGAGACGCACGAAACACCTGACTAGCTCCTCAAGGCATTTGGTACTACTTAGTCAGGTATGGTTTTTGATGCGGGAGAGGTTGAGGGCAATCAGATGACTGTTGCCGGTCTGGCTGCCAAGTCAGAGTACACACACATGCTGAGATACAGTCTGCATGTCAACATCCACCACGATCTCGCCACGACTAGGCAGCAGGAGTTCTGTTCGCCTTTCTACTGTGAGAAGTTCTTGGCACTTTAATTCGTGCAAACGAAGTGCTCCAGAGCCATGGCGCAAATGGCGCAGGCAGCTAGTGCCTTGCCCGCAATCTCAACTCGAGTAGCTGTCAAGAGTAAGGTCCCTTTTTGGGTACCCTAAATATTAGGTGCCGTACTATAAGCTAACCTGCAGCCTCAGCGGAGAATGATCTGTGTACGCGGCTGGTGTGTAGCGGCTGCGGACTAAACTTACTTCAGAAACTGAAAACCTAGGATTCGATAGGCACGAACATCTGACACCTTATTCTACAGAAAGTAACATGCGCATCGATAGTGACGCCAGTATCAGTACTATCAGTAGCATGGAAGGCGCCTATTCCGATAGCCAAACAGAACAACAGTGCCTTCTACGCTGACAGCTGACTGCTGCTTGGTATTGCTGCCACTACTACACGACGACGACTGCGACGAGGACGACTTGTTTTGGCACTACCTCCGCTATGTCGTAGTCGCTGGCATCACAACCGCCACCATCACCACCACTGCCGGCGACAACGACGACCACCAAGGACGGCAACAGTTGTACTAAGTACTAGTCCATCTAGTTGTACATGTGAGCACAGCAGCAGAGTAAGCCCGTGAGAAATGCCGTCATGGTGGTGATTGTGACGATGACGCGCTGTCAACACCCACAGCAGCCGGCCTGCCGTCCCAGGAATGATGACCCGGCCCGCCAAGTCTCTTGCTGCGCTGTCTCGCTGCGTGACGAACCCGCAGCCTGCGAAACACGCTGAGGTGTTTTCCGAGGTGCGAGAGCCTCGGCGAGATGTTGGGGGCGCATCGTGTGCGCGGACTTTTTATCATAGGGACCCTCAGGGGGGCAGGGGACCATACTTCCTTAAATAAGTCTTATTAAATCCTCGTTAAAGGTATTAAGGCCCCCAACCCCCCTTCCCCCTACCCCCGTAAGGGTCCTTAGGATTTTGGGACATCCGGGCTTCTTCGGGGACAGGCCGGCATGCAGCGTCCAAGGTTTCAAGGTAATGTCCTTGCTTCAGGGCTTGTGGCTCCCCCCGCTTGGAGCCCATCACATCTGTCAAGCTTTTACTAGGGTGACATCAAGCGCCACCGTTGCAGCCGTAGTAGAAGTAGACATCAGGTTCCATCTTGTTGCATGAAAAGGGCCTCCCGGACTGGTCCTGACAGTGAGAAGAAAAGGCAAACAGAGATAATCGAGCTATAAACCAACACACGCAACAAGACTGAAACTCGTTTGAAGGTTGTTTTCCTCGGGTCGGGTAGCTTAGGTTTCAGTCTATGGGGGCGCGGCATTCACCTGCGAGAAGGCAACATACCCTGTCACGCGATCCGCAAAACGTGCCTCTGGCCCTCGGCCAAAAAGCTCGAAGTCCCTGGCATAAGAGGCGTTCAAAGCCATGCGGCTTTGCGGATGCCGGTTCATGAAATTGCAACGGGCCCGTGCTTGATTACAGACCCCGACTGCTCCAAGCTGCTTTGAGCCTTAGCACCGAAAGGTTTCAATTCAATCCTGCTCCTGGCAACTTGCAAACGGAAGAAAGTGCCTGCTGCAAGGAGCTGTCCTACATTGATGGCTATGCTACTGGATTGTCTGTCCCCTCCCTCTTTCCTTCTGGGCGGGAACAGCGGGGTTCCCCCCGCCACGCCAGTGCACCCTGCCTTGGAGTGAAGTGCTGCAAAGCTGGCGGTGGCTTTGTTTTACCGACCCAGCTTGGACAAGAACGAACCCACCCACATCGCTCTGCCCCGCAAGCTTCAGCTGGCTTTGCCCTCGACCGCTCCTCCACCTATTCGGGTTTAGGACTTGGGGTAGAGGCTTTGATGCAGGTGACCGTTGCTTTTTGTGCCGATTGAATGCTTGCCCCGTTGAGGAACGTCTCTTCCAGGCCTATGTCGAACGCACACCGACAGCTGTGAGGGCCCTGGCCACTCGGTCGCAATCTGCACCGCAGGCATGTTTCCGGAACTTTTACAAGCGGTCAAGCACCGACCTGTGTGCTTCGGTTTGTCCAGTATGCAGACTTGTAGTGCAGGGCACGGAGAGCCGCAGTGACCTCGTGGATCAGCATTACCCCGATCCATACCCGTCCCTGACTAATGTATTGCGGGGCGGGGCTGGGGGGGTGGGGGGGGGGCGCAGGGGTGGAATTCAGACAGTCTCCAGGGAGGGAACGTATCGCCGGCCGGGGGAGGGGGGATGGCAGGTCTTTACAGTCTGAAATCAACAAATATCAACAACAACATATCAAACCTGACTAGAGAGCGGATGCCGCTAACCTTATAGATAAATGAGGTGAGGGGTCCGGGGGACTAGCCAATGTACTGTTTTTTGACGGTGGGTTGTTCTAGACGACGTGTGAGTTAAACCCTAAACCCCGGTCCCGCCCTATAGCCGGTACAGGTAGGAGGAGGGATCCAGTGCTCGGTCTTCAGGTAGGGGGGGTGAGCAAAGCGCGAGGCTGTTGACAGCAACAATACAGGTGCTGAAATAATTACCAATACTCTTTTGAGGGTTTCTTATTATAGTTATGGTATAATATACCCCAAAGCCCTATTCTTACTCTTCAGGCCCCTATACTACCCTTGAATAACCTGGACATTCAAAAAGTTGTTGTAAGTTCAGCATCTGAGTAGCCTCGGTTGTCAGCACCACTCGTGGGGTCGCATCCGCATCAGCTCGTGTATGGTGCAGAGACACGACACCTGGGGCGATCTTGTGCGATAACATAAGGACCTTAATGGCTAGATATACTATTTTGGGGTTTCCTACTACAATTATAGTATAATGGGCCCCCCAAGCCCTATTCTAACTATGAAGGTCCCTATATTAACTTGTCATCACCTCCTGGTCATATCGGATCATGTCTTAGCTTCCGTACATAGTAGGGGCCCCACGAAATACGTTATTATTCCTCAAGTATTCTCTAAGGACTCGCAAACCTGAATTTATCGAGGTTGCCCCCCCCACCCCCCAAGATTGGAAGTTCGGGCCGGGTATCCCGATCCCGGCAGAGTGCTTTCAAGGATCTAGGAATCTAGGGCCTTGGGGTTTAGGGTTAAGGGTTTAGGGTTGAGGACTTCAACGGAAACTTGAACCCAATTCAACCACACAGGTAAACCGCCGGAATGACCAATACTGTAACACAAAGCGCATGTGTCTAGATGTCGAACCACCCTGAGCGAGCGGCAAAGGAGACGTCAGCAATCCACATTACAGCAACCTCATGACAAAAGCTTCGGAGAAAGGCATGTGTGGCCCAGATCGCACCAGTATAGTAGCCCTCCTTTTTGTGCAACCCGGACAGCGCCCTTGTTGTAAACAACCCTAACCCTGAACCCTAAACCTTAAGCCCTAGACCCTAAACCCTGAACCCTAAACCCTGAACCCTAAAGCCTAAACCCAGCCAAGGACATCCTTGCCTCAAGGGGAGGCAGTATTCACAATGACCACATGGCTCTGCGATCCTTCGTGGACTCCCAAGGTCACCGATTTCGAGCCGGCCGTTCAGTGAGTAGGCTTAAGGTTAAGATGCAGGATAAAGGTTTTCAGGGCTCAGGCATTCGTTGGGACTCGAGGTTCGGGTTTACGGCTAAGGGTTTTTGTCTAGGGCTCTAGGGCTCAAGGGTTCAGGGTTGAGGGGTGGGTGGCGTGTCGTGTTTTTTTTTTTTTTTTGCGGCGCTCTCCTCTCCGGGGATCTCACGTCTTCAGCTGCAGGGCGTGTTTTCGGGGAAAAGGGCTTCAACACCCAGTTTCCTTTCGGCCTCCCACAACCCTAAATGCGTTGACACTTGTGTGTCCTCGATGGTATCATAGAGATACATAGGCTCATGAAGGTTTTCGCATCGTAAGACCTCACAAACTCCGAAGAGGAATGGGTTTGTCAGAGCCTTAATGTTACCAGGCCGTGTAACGCCCGTACTCGCTAGAAACACCTTACAGTATCTCTCAACCTTGCTGCAACCCCAGCATAAGCAGCAAAGTCTCTTGAAAGTTGGGATTCGGATTCGGGGATTCAGGTTAAGCTCGGAACATGCTGCTGTGCTGAGGCGCGAAACCTGAACTCCGCAATGAGGTAGTTTAGGGTTCCTGTGAGGGATCTATAACGGCTACTATAAGCGTACTATAGGATTTGGGGTTCCTTTGAGGGATCTATACGGGCTACTAAAAGGGTACTACAGGATTTAGGGTTCCTTTGACGGATCTATAAGGGCTACTATAGGGTTTTGGTTTTGGAGTTTAGGGTTTTAGTTCTTCAACACTGCAAGCCGAACAGCCCGCCCCCGGCCCGAACACTTGAGGGAAGTTTCAAGTTTCAGAGCTCCAAAGCCAAATAGCCAACCACACTGACCCCCCAAGAAATCACAAACCACAAACATACCTATCGTAGCAAGAGAGAAGGGAGTACCCCTCCCCCCTGTAGAACTATACTGCTATGTGCGCAAGTGTTCAGACCCCGAAACCCTACACCCTAAACCCTAAACCCTCAATCCTCAACCTCAAACCCTAAACCCTCAAACCCCTAAAGCCCTAAACCCCCAACAGGGCCCTTCAAAAAGCGCAGGCCGATCCGGCCGGGAGTTCTTCGAGACCATCTTCACGCACTTTGGCTATGCCGTGGAAGGTCGGCCTGCTTACGGGGCTTGTAATTACTGTTGATGATATACATCTTCAAAGGTATCTCTAAGGGTACCTTTAAGGGGCTCCTTTAAGGGGATCCGTAGGGTTTTAGGGTTTAGGGTTTAGGAATTAGGGTTCAGGAATTAGGGTTTAGGACTTAGGGTTTAGGGTTTAGGAATTAGGGTTCAGGAATTAGGGTTTGGGACTTAGGGTTTAGGGTTTAGGAATTAGGGTTCAGGGTTTAGGGTTTAGGACTTCGGGTTTAGGGTTTAGGAATTAGGGTTCAGCCCGCTTACCTTACCTTTGGTTAGTAGGGAATAGGGCTCCTCTAAAGGGATCTATAGGGGTTTAGGGTTCCTTTAAAGGGATCTTTACCTTTGGTTAGTAGGGAATGGGCCTGCTTACGGGGCTTGTAATTACTGTTGATGGTAAAAGTCGTGCATTACCCATAGTAGGGAATGTGCCATAATTCCCATAGTTTAGGGTCCTTAAGGTAATGCAGGATTGATATCATCAACCTGTTGATGGTGTAAATCCTGCATTACCTTACGGACCCTAAACTATGGGAATTCGGGTATAATTCTTATCATGGGTAATGCAGGATTTATATCATCAACCGTAGGGTAACGTTATGTTCTTGTAAGTCAGACCCCCGGGAGGATCTAGAAAGTAGATTCCCTAATTTGGGGTCCTATACTCCTATGTGGCATGGACCTTTAGGGTCTATTTGGCAATCCTGCTGGGCTTTGTATTTAAACTGCAACAACAGCACGGCGACAAGGACGACGACGACTCGGTTTAGCACGACGACGACTGGGTTCAACACGGCGACGACAAGGTCTGGCACGACGGTTACATCGGGAGGCCGAAGCGTGTACAGTGCAAAGGTCTCGACAGGAGTTTAAGGGTCTAGGGTCTTAGCTCCTAACTATGGTTTACCGGGGTCAGTATACTATGGAAGATCTAAGGTTTGGAGTTTATGAGGATTTAGATGGTTTTACGCTCTCACAAGTTCTCCGTGCTGGTTTTAGGGTCTATCACAGTCTATCACAATGTCCTCCCGTCCCTCTCGCGCCGGGAACCATCAAGAATCTGTCTTGTGTATTTCTCGTCCTGTGTCTTTCTCTCATTCCCGTTCCTCTTCCTGCCTATCCACTCTGCCGTTTGTCAAGAAGACACAGAATTTGAAGTCATGACAAAGGAATCGGCATGAAGATGGACGAAGTGAACTCTTCATTCTCTATTCACAAGAAAGAAGCGCAAGCCAAAGCTACGTAATGAAAGGGCGGAAGCCCCTGTCTCCTCTGTTCTTCCTCTTTTCTCTCTTATTTTTCTCTTAGCAAAGGGCACGCATGGAGCTAGGAAAGGGAAGGGGTCAAAGCGGATGAGAGAAAGTAGCGGAGAGAGCTGTTCTTCGTCCCTCTCACCTCCTCCTCTCATTCTCCTGATGCTTGCTCATGTCAGAAGGGGTTGGAAAGGAGTGAAGGCTAGGGCATGGACTGAAGCGAGGCAATAGGTGAAAGTGGATAAGAGAAAGTCATAGACAGAGAGGGTCAAAGCGGATGAGAGAAAGTAACGGAGAGAGCTGTTCTTCGTCCCTCTCACCTCCTCCTCTCATTCTCCTGATGCTTACTCATGTCAGAAGGGTCTGGAAAGGAGTGAAGGCTAGGGCATGGACTGAAGCGAGGCAATAGGTGAAAGTGGATAAGAGAAAGTCGGGGGAAGTCGAGTGCGAAAGAAAGAGAAACGAGGAAGACTAGGAAGAAGGACACAGAAGAGGAAGCGAGAGAGTACCAGTGTTGCCGTATCTCAAAGGACTCCGGGCCTCGCGAGGGCTTTGAGGAGGCTTGTAGGCGCCTTCAGGCACTTCCACAACTTTCTGGAGGCCACCAACTTCCTCCCTAAGGGGGCCTCTTGAGGACATGAACACCAAACCGAGTATAAAGAAAGCAGGGGGATGTAGAGAAGCAGAGTGTGGTAAGAAGGAGCAAGGAGAATCAGTTCGCGTCTCCTCATCGTTTCCTCTTTGAATGACCAGAGGAAAGAAAAGGATAAGAAGGAGGAAAGGCTCTGCGAAGACATCAGGAAAGAAGAGCAGACAACAGAAAGGAAGCGGTGAGATGCGGGAAGACGGTTCGGAGAAGAAAGGAGAATTCCTCCTTCGCTCGCCTCTCTTACTTCCTTGCCCTTCGCCTTCTTCCTCTTCTCTTACCCTATTCATCTTCATAAGGAAGGAGAAATGAAAGGAACGGAGAGTTCAGGGCATGCAAAGGGCACTCTTTCTCATCACCTCATCCATCCTCCTTTTCATTGTTCTCTCCAGATCCCTCTTTCTCTCTCCCTCCCTTCCCGTCTACTTCTGCACATTCCCTTTTCCGCTTCTCTCCGCCTATTATGTTCGCTTTGATAAAATCGCTTGCCCTATTCCTTCTCCTCCTGGCTTTCCTGCCTCCCGTCCTTCTCCCTCTATCACTCAGAAGGAAGAAGGACGATTCACAAGAAAGAAGCGTAAGCCAAAGCTACGTAATGAAAGGGCGGAAGCCCCTGTCTCCTCTGTTCTTCCTCTTTTCTCTCTTATTTTTCTCTTAGCAAAGGGCACGCATGGAGCTAGGAAAGGGAAGGGGTCAAAGCGGATGAGAGAAAGTAGCGGAGAGAGCTGTTCTTCGTCCCTCTCACCTCCTCCTCTCATTCTCCTGATGCTTGCTCATGTCAGAAGGGGTTGGAAAGGAGTGAAGGCTAGGGCATGGACTGAAGCGAGGCAATAGGTGAAAGTGGATAAGAGAAAGTCATAGACAGAGAGTGGGGGAAGTCGAGTGCGAAAGAAAGGGAAACGAGGAAGACTAGGAAGAAGGACACAGAAGAGGAAGCGAGAGAGTACCAGTGTTGCCGTATCTCAAAGGACTCCGGGCCTCGCGAGGGCTTCGAGGAGGCTTGTAGGCGCCTTCAGACACTTCCACAACTTTCTGGAGGCCACCAACTTCCTCCCTAAGGGGGCCTCTTGAGGACATGAACACCAAACCGAGTATAAAGAAAGCAGGGGGATGTAGAGAAGCAGAGTGTGGTAAGAAGGAGCAAGGAGAATCAGTTCGCGTCTCCTCATCGTTTCCTTTTTGAATGACCAGAGGAAAGAAAAGGATAAGGAGGAAGGGCTCTGCGAAGACATAAGGAAAGAAGAGCAGACAACAGAAAGGAAGCGGTAAGATGCGGGAAGACGGTTCGGAGAAGAAAGGAGAATTCCTCCTTCGCTCGCCTCTCTTACTTCCTTGCCCTTCGCCTTCTTCCTCTTCTCTTACCCTATTCATCTTCATAAGGAAGGAGAAATGAAAGGAACGGAGAGTTCAGGGCATGCAAAGGGCACTCTTCTCATCACCTCACCATCCTCCTTTTCATTGTTCTCTCCAGATCCCTCTTTCTCCCTCCCTCCCTTCCCGTCTACTTCTACACATTCCTTTTTCCGCTTCTCTCCGCCTATTATGTTCGCTTGGAAAGAATCGCTTGCCCCCTATTCCTTCTCCTCCTGCCTTTCCTGCCTCCCGTCCTTCTCCCTCTATCACTCAGAAGGAAGAAGGACAATTCACAAGGAAGAAGACAAGGGAGTAAGAGAAAGACAACAGAAGCGGAGAGACAATCCGAGAAGGGCAGAAGAAGAACGAGAGCCATAAGGAAACAAACACAGAAACAAAGAGAGAAAGTAAGAGAGAAAGACCAGCAAAAACAGAGGCAGAGAGTGAGAGAAAGGAGGGGAGGGGAAGCGATGCAGAAAGCAGTCGAAAGTGCCTTGCTTGTCCTATCTCACCGTCTCATTGGTAAAAAACCAGGAAGAGGTTGTGGAGGAAGACAAGGAAGAAGTGTTCTCGTCTTCACTCACCTTGTGCCCTTCCTCTCCCACCGCTCGTCCGCTCGACAGAAAAAAAAGAGAGTTGCGGAGAGGGCGAGAGAGAGCTTCAAGCCCAGCAGAGGAAGAAGAGAGAGGAAGATACGAGAAGTGTGGAGGAAGTGGCCAAAAGAAATGCTACGTAATGAAAGAGGGGAAACCAGTTTCTCCTCTGCTCTTCCTCTTTTCTCTCTTATTCTTCTCTTCTCGCAGGGCATGCATGGAGCCAGGAAAGGGAAGGGGTCAAAGCAGATGAGAAAGTAATGGAGAGAGCTGTTCTTCGTCCCTCTGACCTCCTCCTCTCATTTTACTCATATCAGAAGGGTCTGGAAAGGAGTGAAAGGTAGGGCATGGACTGAAGCGGGGGAATAGGTGAAAGTGGATAAGAAACAATGTTAGACAGCTTGCCGAAGGCGGCCAGCTCGCAGCTTGCCTGCGGCCTGGCCTGCTGAGCCTGGTGGGCTCTCGAGGGTGGGCAGGGGCCTGCTGAGATCCACGGCCAGCACGCCCGGCTTGCTTTGAGGCAGGGCCAGCTGGGGAGCCTGGCCGGGCTGAGTGGGTTGGGTGAGTGAGTGGGGAGAGGGTGGAGAGGAACAGGGAGAAGAGGGTGGGTGGAGAGAGGAGGTAGAGGGAGCGCAAGGAAAAGGTGGGGAGAGGGGAGGGCGGGTGGACAAAGGGAGGGGAAGAGGAGGGAGTGGGGAGATGGGTGGAGAGGTAGAGGGAGTGGAGGGTGGGTGCGTTCTTTGGATTGTATAGTCTAAGGGTTTTCTACAAAGGGTTCCATATCAGGGATTTGTACAAAGGATCTATAGATTTCTATAAGGAGTATATAAAGACTGTGTATGAGGGCTCCATATAGTCGATCTTTCAATTTTTTATAAAGGACTCCATTTGTGGGAAACATAAGCGGTTCCTACAAGTTCTGTATCTCGAGGATCTGTAAGGTTTATATATCTATGAAGCTTTCTATATGGGCTCTATAGACCCCATAAGACAAATTAAAAAGTGATGAAGGTGATAAGAAGATGATAAGAAGATGAGTGGATGGGAGAAAAAGTGATGGGAGGTGAGGAGACATGAGATGGGAAGGGAAGGAATGAGTTAGGAGTGGGGGAGGTAGGAGGCAAGTGAGAGGGACAGGGTGGATCATTTACAAACGCCTTTAGGGGGACGCTCCTTGCGATGTGTGATTTTTGGATCTGAGTTCTTACAAAGCCTGAGAGGGGCACACCCCGTGCGATCTGTGATTTTTGGATCTGAGTTCTTACAAAATATTAGGGCGACACCCCTTGCGATTTGTGATTTTTGAACTTACTTGTCATGAAAACCTTTAGGGGACACCCCTTAAGATCTGTGGTTTTGGGATTTGAATCTTCACAAAACCTTAAGGGGGACACCCCTTGCGATTTGTGCTTTTTGCACTTACTTGTCATGAAAACCTTTAGGGGGACACCCCTTAAGATCTGTGGTTTTGGGATCTGAGTTTTCACAAAACCTTAGGGGGATATTTAAGAAGGAGAGAAGGGAGGGTGGGGGAGGGTGGAGATTCCAGGATAGTGGAGGTGGGGGAGAGTGAGGAAGGTGAGGGGAGGGGGTAGTGGGAGGGATAGGGAGAGGGAGGGAGGGGTATGGGAGGAGGACGAGGGATGAGGAGGAGGCTGCGGGCAAAATCTGGCGGAAGTGATCCGCCACCGAGCAAAAAGCCTGTAAATACCGCATTAAACAAAGGGCCAGGGATTTCACATATCTGGTGGCAACATCTGGCGGAAGTGAGCAATCGGTACTTCTGTCAGATTTTGCCAACAGATATGTGAAATCCCTGGCCCTTTGTTTAATGCGGTATTTACAGGCTTTTTGCTTGGTGGCGGATCACTTCCGCCAGATTTTGCCCGCAGATGTGTGGGATCCCTGGCCGTTTTTTGAACGCGGATGGGAAGAGACAGCAGGCTCCAAACCGCCGTGTCTCACCCACCACTTCAAGGGCTAGGGATCCCACACATCTGCGGGCAAAATCTGGCGGAAGTGATCCGCCACCGAGCAAAAAGCCTGTAAATACCGCATTAAACAAAGGGCCAGGGATTTCACATATCTGGTGGCAACATCTGGCGGAAGTGAGCAATCGGTACTTCTGTCAGATTTTGCCAACAGATATGTGAATCCCTGGCCCTTTGTTTAATGCGGTATTTACAGGCTTTTTGCTTGGTGGCGGATCACTTCCGCCAGATTTTGCCCGCAGATGTGTGGGATCCCTGGCCGTTTTTTGAACGCGGATGGGAAGAGACAGCAGGCTCCAAACCGCCGTGTCTCACCCACCGCTTCAAGGGCTAGGGATCCCACACATCTGCGGGCAAAATCTGGCGGAAGTGATCCGCCACCGAGCAAAAAGCCTGTAAATACCGCATTAAACAAAGGGCCAGGGATTTCACATATCTGGTGGCAAAATCTGGCGGAAGTGAGCAATCGGTACTTCTGTCAGATTTTGCCAACAGATATGTGAAATCCCTGGCCCTTTGTTTAATGCGGTATTTACAGGCTTTTTGCTTGGTGGCGGATCACTTCCGCCAGATTTTGCCCGCAGATGTGTGGGATCCCTGGCCGTTTTTTGAACGCGGATGGGAAGAGACAGCAGGCTCCAAACCGCCGTGTCTCACCCACCACTTCAAGGGCTAGGGATCCCACACATCTGCAGGCAAAATCTGGCGGAAGCGATCCGCCACCGAGCAAAAGCCTGTAAATACCGCATTAAACAAAGGGCCAGGGATTTCACATATCTGGTGGCAAAATCTGGCGGAAGTGAGCAATCGGTACTTCTGTCAGATTTTGCCAACAGATATGTGAAATCCCTGGCCCTTTGTTTAATGCGGTATTTACAGGCTTTTTGCTTGGTGGCGGATCACTTCCGCCAGATTTTGCCCGCAGATGTGTGGGATCCTTGGCCGTTTTTTGAACGCGGCATTTACAGGCTTTCTGCTCGGTCGCGGCTCGCAGGGATTATACACCCTTGCCCCCACTCCACCCTCCCGCCCCCTTCATACCTCACTACCCACCCCCCTATCTCAGCCCCTTGCCTTGTACCCCATCACCACCCACCACCCACCACCTATTATCCACCACCCGGCACCCCTCACCCGCCACGCCCACCACCCACACCCAGCCCAGCTGCGTCCGCCCCCCCAGCCTCAGCCCCAGCCCCTAGGCCCCCTTGGGGGGGCTGGGGGCTGGGGCTAGGACTGGGTGGGGCCGGGGCCTTGGGGCTGGGCCTGAGGCTGGGGCTGGGGTTGGGGCAGGCCCTGGCAGGGTGGCTGCTGGGGTCGGAGGCTGGGGGGCTGGGGCTGGGGCTGGAGCTGAAGATTTAAATTTTTAAAATTCTTTAAATTCTTTAAATTCTTTAAATTTTGAAATCCGGACGATTTCAGAATTTAAAGAATTTAAAGGATTTACCTCCTTTAAATTTTTAAATTCTTTAAATTTTTAATTCCGGACGATTTCAGAATTTAAAGGATTTACCTCCTTTAAATTTTTTAAATTCTTTAAATTTTTAATTCCGGACGATTTCAGAATTTAAAGAATTTAAAGAATTTTAAACATTTAATTCCGGGGGCTGGGGTCGAAGGCTGGGGGGCTGGGGCTGGAGCTGGAGCTGGACATTTAAATTTTTAAAATTCTTTAAATTCTTTAAATTCTTTAAATAATTCCGGACGATTTCAGAATTTAAAGAATTTAAAGGATTTACCTCCTTTAAATTTTTAAAATTCTTTAAATTTTTAATTCCGGACGATTTCAGAATTTAAAGGATTTACCTCCTTTAAATTTTTTAAATTCTTTAAATTTTTAATTCCGGACGATTTCAGAATTTAAAGAATTTAAAGAATTTTAAAAATTTAATTCCGTGGGCTGGGGTCAAAGGCTGGGGGGCTGGGGCTGGAGCTGGAGCTGGACATTTAAATTTTTAAAACTCTTTAAATTCTTTAAATTCTTTAAATTTTTAATTCCGGACGATTTCAGAATTTAAAGAATTTAAAGGATTTACTTCCTTTAAATTTTTTAAATTCTTTAAATTTTTAATTCCGGACGATTTCAGAATTTAAAGGATTTACTCCATTTAATTTTTTAAATTCTTTAAATTTTTAATTCCGGACGATTTCAGAATTTAAAGGATTTACCTCCTTTAATTCTTTTAAATTCTTTAAATTTTTAATTCCGGACGATTTCAGAATTTAAAGAATTTAAGGAATTTAAAAAATTTAATCCCGTGGGCTGGGGTCGAAGGCTGGGGGGCTGGAGCTGGAGCTGGACATTTAAATTTTTAAAATTCTTTAAATTCTTTAAATTCTTTAAATTTTTAATTCCGGACGATTTCAGAATTTAAAGAATTTAAAGGATTTACCTCCTTTAAATTTTTTAAATTCTTTAAATTTTTAATTCCGGACGATTTCAGAATTTAAAGGATTTACCTCCTTTAAATTTTTTAAATTCTTTAAATTTTTAATTCCGGACGATTTCAGAATTTAAAGGATTTACCTCCTTCAAATTTTTTAAATCCTTTAAATTTTTAATTCCGGACGTTTTCAGAATTTAAAGAATTTAAAGAATTTTAAAAATTTAATTCCGTGGGCTGGGGTCGAAGGCTGGGGGGCTGGGGCTGGAGCTGGAGCTGGACATTTAAATTTTTAAAATTCTTTAAATTCTTTAAATTCTTTAAATTTTTAATTCCGGACGATTTCAGAATTTAAAGAATTTAAAGGATTTACCTCCTTTAAATTTTTTAAATTCTTTAAATTTTTAATTCCGGACGATTTCAGAATTTAAAGGATTTCCCTCCTTTAAATTTTTTAAATTCTTTAAATTTTTAATTCCGGACGATTTCAGAATTTAAAGGATTTACTCCCTTTAAATTTTTTAAATTCTTTAAATTTTTAATTGCGTATATACACAGTATATATTAAGACACAGAGCAAGCCCTACGCCAAATAGGACCTAAAGGTCCTACGTACATACTCCTATACTACTAAGGGTAGTTTATCGGAGCCCCCCATTAAGAGATCTACTTTCTGGATCCTCCCGGGGGTCTTGTAAGTCGGTTGTGTTTGGGGTTGTCCGTCACAGAGTTGGGGTTCTCTACAGACTTCTTGGGGGTACTTAGATTTTTTTTTAGTTTTTGGTTATTATAATCCCTAAGAAACAGCTAAGATTATAATTTTGCTAGGGTTCTAAGTTCAGTATAGATTACTTAAGGTTCCGAACCTCTGGGTGGTGCTTGGCAGTTGAGAAATGACAAAGGGTTGAGGGTCCAGAGATTTGGGACATGGGATGGTAAGTTTGCAAGATAACCCCTGAAAGAGCCCTGAAGGGGAGAAGCCTAAGTAACCGTTCAAGGAGCCCTAAACCCTAAACCATTTAAACCTGAAAGTTTAAATCCTAAACTCTAAACTCCAACCCCTAAGCCCAAACCCTAAACCCTAGACCCCACACAACCTTAAACCCTAAAAACCCTAGACAACCCTACACCCTAGACAACCCTAAACCTTCCTTCGCCAGACTCCCTGGTGATCCCCGGGCTCTGCGTCAACGCGCGCTGGTACGAACCGCCTGAGGAGTTTCCCGAAAGCAGTTCAGACAACGTGAAGTACTCAGAGGATCATGGGACTCTTGGTAACTAGGGTTCCTGAAAGGGTCCCAAAAAGAGGTCCTGTATATAAGGGATTTTTTGGGGTTTAAGGTTCAGGGGATTATGGGACTTAGTAACTGACTAGAATTAATCCCACTTAGGGTATTTAAGCGTAACCCACTAAGTGCCATGATCGTGTGAGAAGGGAATGCTTCGATTCAGGGATCCCATGTTTTGGGGGTCCTGCGTATCACGGAACCTTGCACTAAGGGCTTGCGTTCGGGTCCTTGCGGAAACTCTCACACGGAGGGGAGTGGGTCCTTGGAGGGCTGGAATGCAGTCTCTTGTAAGGACCTTGCAGGTTTCTGGAGGGGCTCTTTCTGCTGGTCCCATAGCACGTGAGTTTCCTGGGTTACCTTAGGCTGAACTTGGAGCAAACTCAAGTTTCGGTTCAGGGTTTCATGCGTTGTGCGATTTTCATCCTAGGGCCTGGTCCCGCTTTTCAGTCTGAGTCTTCAAGTCTTTGGTCCTGAGGTTACGGGATTACTGTGCGGGGGGAAGGTTGGGTAGTGGCATTTAGGGTTGTGGACGCTTTTTCCTTCTAAGACTTCTTCTTCAACCCGCTCCCAAACTCGTGTTGCAAACCCTAAGCTGTGCCCGCATGGTAATTCCCTACACCCCTCAACCCCAAACGCTGAACCCTAAGCCTTCAACCCCTAAAACCCCAAAACAACTCTTTGGGAGTCTCGTTGACAGCTCTGGCTGGAACTCGGGTGTCGATAGGGTGCGAGTTCGTGACCTACTTGGAGGCTCATGGGACTTAGTAAGTAAGGTCATAAGTAGGATTTTATTATGGTAACCCCACTTAGGGGACTTATAACCCCAGTTATAACCTACTTACTAAGTCCCATGATCCTTTAAGTAAGGTTCAAGGTTATAGGGTTGGGCCCAAGGCGGTGTGTGTTGGCGTTAGATTTTAGGGCTTGAAGCCTGAAGGAAGCTTGGGTTTAAGGTCAAAAGCTTCCAAGTCCGGTTCAAACTTCGGAGGAGGGGTTTGGGCTTCGAAAGGTTCAAAAAATTCTTAGAGTTTGGGGCCAATCTGTTTCGGGCCAATTTGCTTGACATTATCAGGACCCTTCACCCAAGGACGAACTGGACCCGTCATAAAAATCCTAAACCCCAAACCCTCAACCTTAAACCCCGAACCCTACATCCCAAAGCCCAAGCCCCAAACCCTACATCCCAAAACCCCAAAGCCCAAATCCTAAACCTCAAACCCCAAACCCTAAACCCCTAAACCCAGACCCAAGCTCCAGTCCCCTCCCCACACCCGAGGACGAACTGGCCGAAGATTTTTGTCTCCGAGATGCGCATCAATGAGCTGCCGGACACTGGCTTCGTGTTTAGGGGTTTAATTTGTTCACCATTATCCCGATTATGGTGACTTCGATTCAACTCCTAAAGCAGAGCGCAGGACACCGCCGCCGAGATCCTGTACCGCCCGGGCCTCAAGGTTTCAGGGGTTTCCTGTAAAGGGATCTGCACAAGGCCGGGTTGTCCTTTGGGATCTTTTTTAATTTAGTCTACTATTTTGTAAAAGCTCAGAACACGCTCAATAGCGAGCGATTGCTGTAGGCCCCAAGTGCTCAAAGAGCACGTCTGACTTTTCCTCTTTCGCCATCGGATTGCATAGAGGAAGCCCTACTTGGCACCGCAGAGCCAGGTCCACTCGCGCTAAGGCGAGACTCCGCACCAGGAGCCGTCGCCTGGCCGGCCTGCCGGAACGACGAAGCGACCTGCGTCGGCTCGGCCATCATCACGCCACACGAGCTGCCTTTCAGGCATCGATGGGCAAGCGAGGCGACAACGGAGGATGGCGCAACGAGCATGGCAAGGAGCGCTCCTGGTCTATTTGGCCGGGTGCACGTTCGCCCCAGTACCCTTGGCGTTCCAAGGAAGAGCGAAAGGGGAACCAGAGAGGCGATGCCATCCCTGGGTACTCGAGCAAGGAGGTCTCCCGGGGAGCGGTTCCACCGCCTCATGCTCCGGCTTTGCCTTCGGAGCCCAAAGCCCCTGTTGGGATGGTGCCCATGGTGCAACAAGCGCTGAACTTGGCGAGAAAGGCAGAGGGCAAAGTTGCCAAACTACATGCAGACCGAGACAAGAGGGAGCAACAGATGAAAGCCTGGGAAGCAGATATGAAGGCAGCGTGGCTGCGGGAGAAGCGCCTTTTTGCCACAGACATGGAGCGTATCAACAAGGAGATCGCGACCGCTGTCTCTGCACAGGATTCTGCCCGCGAACACCTTCAGATGGTTTTCATGGCTTCCATGTCAGGCACGGAGATGCCCAGCACCACCATGGAAGTCGATGGGAAAGAAGAGGAAGCCCAATGGGAAGCGGCTCGCTCAGAGTGGGATGGCGTGCTTCAGAGGGCTCTGGGCACTCCGGCCCGCCGTTCTGCCCCCCCTATGACTCCGCCGACTTTGGTACCGTACGGCGCCGCGCTCTGGAACCCTTTGGGCTACGCCCGCCACAGCAACCGGTCCAGACCACAATGCTTGGAGACGGTGCCATGGAGTCGATGGGCGATGTGAGGTTGCCCACTCCAGGGACTGCTCCTGGCTTTCTGGACGACGACGAATCAGACCCCTCAGAGAACCTCACTCCGGAGGAGATCGCTCAGTTAAAAGGTCGACATGTGCCCGCTCCTACCAATGTGGATTGACACGACGGCGGCCCAGGCGAAGTCCATCTCGTAGCAGCACGCTGGCGGAGCCGAATGGCCTCCTGACTTCATTGGGGAAGTCATTTGTGCCACAGCACTCCTTCGGCGTATGCAGCTGCGAGATTGCCTTCGCCCAGGCTGCAAGTGAGGCTGGGTTCTGGAATAGGAAACTGTACAGTTCCTTGTACAGGCACAGCTGTTCAATCCTCTCCCTGACGGCTATGGCCCCCAGATCCACTCTGCCATTACCTCGCTACAGTTCTAGGATGGGAGATCACTGGGCATTGTGAGTCTCCTAATTCTAGGCTGTCGTCTTCCTCGCGAGGGATTGCTCACACCTTTCTTTGGAGTGAGCTGTCTCCTCCTCCGCCTTGCTGCTTGCCTTTTGTTGCAACAGCCTGCACCTCTCATGCCTTGGCAATCACCTGCCCAATTCCTTGCGGGAGCCTAAGAGAAGCATCGGTGGCTCAGGGGCTTCCTCCTGCGTGGACTGCGTGCATTTCTTGTGATCATTCATGTGTAGGCTGCATACCGGATGTCTCGGTAGAGTTTCCCGGTCCAGCTCCCGGCGATACCTTTTCAAGGATGGGGCCTAATAATTGCATCGGTGGCTCTGGGGCAATATCCATCCTTTTCGGTTTCGGGCTGCAGCTTGATGATGCCTTGGCTGCCCCCGGCCTCCTTTTGCAGCTCCTGCTTTGGCTTAGTTCAGGAATTCTCCCTTTTGCTCGGAGCTTCTGCGCTCTTACGGGCATCTCCCTGTTGCATTTGCTTGCCTACAAAGGGACAAGGCGAAGGCAGCGCCAGGGCCAGCATGCTTCAGCTCCGCAGTTGAGATGCAGCTGGCCAATCACTTCCTTGGGCAGTGTTGGCTGCACGACCCCGATTTTGAAGTGGAACCGCTTACCTTCTGCCTCCAGACCATTGCGCCACCGCAGCGCCTTTGCCATTGGGGGTCGGATCTTTGGCATTATAAGAATGTTCGGACTCTTGCAATCCTGTCCGCTTTGTGTGTGGGCTGCTCCGCCGGGCTTAAGCGAGACCGTCGCTTTTGCTGACCAAGCCAGCCTCTTCCTCCCTGAGGTGTTTCCTGACCTCCGGTTTGCAACTACTGTCGCGCCTAGCTTGGTAAGCGATGAACCACAGGATAAGCAAGCGTTTGTTTTGGCACCAGGCTACCGAGGCCTCAAAGTCCACTTGCCTGCAGGTCCACTGCCCTGTGAGCAAGTACTATTGTCCGCTCTTGATGACAAGATCGGTGACGTGCAACTGCCTGCTCCCAGGCTCCTGGTCGCAGCCTCCCCTCAAACGGCCAGAGGGCACGCTGTCCTGGTACAAGTGCCCGCCTGGGTTGATGCTGCCGATCGCCGGGTTTTGGTGTTCGATTTCACAAGATTTGGCGGACCCATCTTTGCGAATTTCACTGCTAGCTCTTTGCGGTTTGAGGAGATTGAAGCTATTGCCTTCGACCACGTAGACTGTCCCTGGCATGCATACCTGGGTTCTTCCACTGAACCCTTTGAAGCCGGGTGCTCCTTGACTGTTTACAATGGTCTTGTAGTGCAATTTCTGCCCCTACTCACGCAACCCGATGCCTGGCAACCAAATCTGCCTGATCTGCTGGTGGAAGATGACTTTTGGACCCCTCGACCATACATTTTTGGGGACGGGGATGGACCCACCAGATGGGCCGTGCTCAAAGATGCCGCTATATGGCTCACAGAGCATGATGAAAGCCCGGATGAAGCTCTTGAGATCAAAATCGCTCAGCGCATGCATGCACGTCGGGATCAGATCATAGTCGGGCCAACTGCGCCACGCGACCTCAGCCGCACCTTGGCCTTTGCGGGTCAAACTGTCCACGGCTTGGTAGGTGCGTGTAGGGTGTCAGAGATGCTTTCTACCGCCAGCCGGCCTCCGCTTTTTGTGTATGTTGATGCGAGGTCCGTAGGAGCTAGCATTTGTCTTTTCACCACCATTGACAGTTTTGCTAGCCCGGCCCAGGTACTTAGTTTAGTCCCCAATACTGCCCCGCCTGGGTACCGCTCTAAGGTTGTGGAGTCGACCAACCTTGACGGGCTGCTTTCTGTCGTCGACGGCGGCGTTCTTACCGTCGCTTTTGAGGCCGAACCGCACAGCGTGCCTTCTGTCCCCTCTGGGACTCCGGATTTGGCTCAAGGACATGCTCAAGGGAGCAAGTGAAAACAGCATGCAACATGGGCATGGGCAGAAATTTTTGTGTGGGCTTGCAGCTTGGACACATATCTTCAGCATCACATTTCTACACTTATTCTTCTGTAGGACAACACATCGGCTTCGTGCCTCATGAGCGACTCCACTTCCGTGGGTCCCAGCGCCGTGCTTTCAGAGGACCTCCGCGTGCTGCGAGAGGACTTACAGGATCAGATCGCTGCATTGCAATTCAGGGTCACAGTTTTGGAGTACCGCTTGCGCCCAAGTCCTCTGCAGTCTCCCTCAGCCAGCTCAGTCGGTGCCAGCACAGCTACTTCCACTTTGGTTCTTCTCGATCTCGGGGATATCACATTTACCCCACGACCCTGCGCAGTGCTGCTTAATTTTCTGTCATTTCGAGCGCGCGGGGCCCTTCTGCAGACAGCTGCCTTCGTGCTAGATCCAGCCCGCACATCGTTTTACCGTATTGCCCTCCGTGATCCTGCCCTGCAATATCGTCATGTCTGACTCAGCAACAGGTGCGCTCCCGCGCCTGCTTCCAGCCGCGCCCGCGGCGGCTCACTCGGTACCTGATGCTACGGGCCATCTTTCGGATAATCAGGGGGTTGCGGTTTTGCCTTCGGACCAGCTTGCGCCAGAAGTTGCGATCTTAACAACTCTGCCTGCAGACCAACTTGCGGCAGGGGTAGCAGACCCTTCAGAACAGCTTGTGCCGTCGAATGAGCAGCCGCTCGGTGGTGTAGACAGTGGAGAGACCCCAGAGCCCCGACCCGAGTTTCCACCACTCCCCCCTTCGGTTCCTAATGGTGTAGACCTTCAATTTTCTTGTGGTTTAGGCCTGGCGGGCACTTCCGAGCCCGAAAATGTGGATCCCTCACCAGACTTGGAACCGGAAGGCTGGGAAGAACAAGAAAGTTGCGACCCTTCGGCAGAATGGCAGCATTATAAGGAAGTAGCTGAAACCGAGGCAGGGCTTTTGAGTGAGTTCGATAAACACTTAGAGCAGCTAGCTGCCGGCTCCAGCTCCTCTTGGCGACCGGTAGGCTCAGATGCAAGCTTGATCACACCTCCTGTAGCCGGGGTTTTCACTACCAGCCCTCAGGAGCCCATGATAGCACCGCTTGTTGATGTGGTCGACCGAGTTGGTCTCGAATCCGTCACTGAGCAAACTGAAGTTTCCGTGGGAGCGCGGCCCCATGCGCGCCGTCTTCAGTGAATCTCTGCCATCACTGCCAACGGTACCTAAGATGCCCTTGATTGCTAAAAAGCTCCTTGTGCCCCAGGAGCCAACCCATCAAGAGACGACCCACGTATCTGTGAGCGCCAAGGTGTATCTTCAAGGTAAACCGATTTTTGCAGTGGCCATCAAAGCCACTAAGAACCTGTCCTTCCGCGAGAGGCGTGCTGAGGTCTTGGAGGTTAGTTTAGGTAAGTTGGTTGCGGGCCTCCGGCTTGTGCCCCAGAACTTGGTTCCTTGCACACTGCAGCGCAGCGGGAAGGTTGATCCAGAATCGGTGACGGCTGCTGTCGGCACTCGCTCCCCTTGGACGATAGACAAGCGTGCGAATGCCTTCAACACATTCCTCAGATGGTACCTTGACGGCCCTGCATCAGAGTCAGACTGCTTGTCAGAAGCGTCGCTGTGGGCATATATGACCGACCTCAAAAGGGCAGGTGCAGCGGCCTCGAAAGGAGCTGGGATCCTCAGTGCAATGCGCTTCCTTCACCATGTGCTTGGTTTCCACTTGGACGAAGTCTTGCAGAGCCGGCGGGTGTGTGGGATTGCGGAACAAATGTCTGTTGGGGTCCATTGGTTGCGTCAAGCTGAAGCCTTGACAGTGGGCGAAACATGCCGATTGCACACCATGGTGGAAGACCGGGGAGCCCACAGCTTCGATCGAGCCATGGCAGCCAGATGTCTCTTTGCGCTTTATGGGCGTTGTAGAAACAGTGACCTTTCGGACATTCAGTGGATTGAGCATGAGTTCAGCGAGTCTTCTGGGTATGTTGTCTTGTATCTAGGGATGCACAAGACGAACAATGTCACTGCACGTTCGAAGAAGCTTCTTCCAGTCCTGATACCAGCGATAGGCGTCACTGGCACCCAATGGGTGTCTTCGGCGCTGGACGCTCTCAGCGCTGTGGGCATGGAGGTCCAGGGCAAAGTTGAGGGCCCGCTTCTGAGGGCCCCCATATCTGCAGATGGTGAAATGCTGTCTAAGCGTGAGATCAGAGCAGCGGAGATCACGTCGTTCTTGAGGATCGCATTGGGCCCAGTGTGTGATGAAGAGCGCCTGAAGCGCATCTCTTCACATTCGCTCAAGCGCACTCCACTAGCCTGGTGCTCCAAGCACGGGGTAAGCGAACCAGTAAGATCAGTTTTGGGCAGGCATGCATCTGCCACGATCGGATCGCAGGCTATTTATGCCGTTGACTTAGCTACTTCGGCAGTGAAAGAGTTCGAGCAAGTTCTTCGAGACATCTCTTCAGGACGCTTCAAACCAGACAACTCGCGGGCAGAGTATTTCGTCGCTCCTCCCGAGCCGTCCCAGGATGCAATTAAGTCAGAGCCAGACGCTTGTGAGGGGATACCGAGTCAAGGCGAGATTGTGGACGTCAGTTCGGATTCCAGCTCCTCATCCGACAGCGAGAGTGCTGAGAGTTCGAGAACATCGT